TACCATACCTAGGTACCTAAAGTATCATCCCAGGTACAAATTGCACAGGATGTAGGTATGTACAGTCAATCGTAATACACCTAGTAAGTAGGACAACATATTTTCGATACAGAGTAGAGGCAGGGAGGACGGGGAAGAAGAGAAGCGACAGTGACATTCTAATAAATCCACCTTTCACTGCCACCACCTCTTTCACTTCTTTCTTACTTCTTAACTCTTACCTCTTACCTCTAATGTCACCAACTTCATCGAATAGTATTTTCACTCACTCGTCCACTCACTCATTGAAATTAGTGCTTGCGTACCCTGTCCACATCTCAATGTTTAACTTTTTTAGATTCAACGTGGACTTTCTAAAAGGGTTTCAAGAGAGTTGAGACATCTGATCGAAATCGGGAATATTTCACAATTCTATTGATAGAAATAATTGTAATCTTTTTCGGGTAACGATGGTCTAGATAGGTAGTCTACGGAGTTAAGAGAGAATAGGAGTAAGAGTCGTGTATCTTTGGTGTATTGTTGTGTTGTGATGGTGAAGATGTCAACTTATGTGCCGGTATACGAGGTATTCAGAGATACAATATGGAATGAAATAATGAGGATTAAATCGAGGTATCTACTCACCGGTACAATACTTATTCATTCATATTCATTCATGGGGGCAAGCCCCCAGACCCCCATAGCTCGCTGCGCTCGAAGTTTTGATGATATACATAGGTATTCTTCGTATTGTGTAGATACTAATGAACTGGTCGAGTGTCTGTGTATTGCCTTCTTCATACTCTGATACATATCTCAATATCTCAATATCCCAATATCCCAATACCGCCCACGATCTGTATGAATTCTTGACCTTCTCTCATATCGCCCATATCTTCATTATCTTCATTATCCCTCCACAAATCTAGGATTTATCCCCATAATTGAAATTGTGAATCCTCCACAACCAATTATCTATCAAGTTCGTCCAATCTTCATCTGATCATGCTCGGAAGTAGGCTAGTCCATCCTCAGTTAGATCGTTGTTAAATTAATATATAATATCCATATTTATCCATGTTTATCCATGTTTTAGTGGCTTCGTACCCCTGATTAAGCTACTTTGGGATTAGTCAATCATGACCCCTGGCTCATCTCTTTAATTCTGGCCCATCTTCTAAAATCCATCCAATCTTCAATCTCTGTTCTCGCTTTTCGCTCTCTTGTCATTCTCCTCCTCCTCCTCCTCCTCCATCTCTCAACCACCTTCCTTCCTTTACCTCTCTCTCACCTTCACCTCGAAAAACTCTTTGACTGTTTCCTCATCCTTCTCAGACATCACCATCTTCTTGGAGGTTAATTCTCCTGCTTGCTTGCAAGCGTCACATTCCTTTTATTATAACTGCCTCCAAGAACACATTCATTCGTTGTTTACACCACCCCAATCATTCCGACCACAGTCACTCTCTCGAGGAAAAGTAAAATCATCAATCAATCCAAAATTATCTTCTCAACCTCAATAGTTCATTATTTACTTTTTGACTTTACGTCAACCGTTTCGACTGTTTCAAATTGACTGTCCTATACCGAAAAAAGAATTAAAGATAATTCACCAATCGATCTTCCCAGTCTGATATTCGCATTAATTTCCCATTTCACTCGCACAGCCTGCTATTTACAAAGTACCATATTCGAATCGCACCTGCCTTTGAGCGAAAAAGATACCCAAGACGACTACGATAATAACAAACTCGTTTTATAATTTCTTAATCGATCGCACGTTTTAAATATTTCCTACAAGATCAGTCAAATTCGGTAGCAGGATTACCTATGCCAATATGGCGGACCATCAAAGATTAGCAAATATTGTTAGGTTGGCACGTCGAGTACCATTAGCAGAGGCGGCTGCAGAAGATATTGGTAATATTGCATCGATATTAAAAATGTCATTACCAGATCCAGTTCTTATGGTAAGAAGTGCTACAACTTCTGCTGCCGCATCTTCAAGCACATGTGCCGCGGGTGATACTTCTGCTGCTTGTGAAAAGCCAGTCGGCCCTTCTGCCTACACTTTGCCCGTTATTCTAGGTATCGTGTAAGTTTAATTAATCTAACATTTTGGTGGCTTTGTTCCGAGCTCTAATCATTGGTCGTGATAGTATTCCTGTCGGCGGCGCCATCATCTTATTCACAATTCTGCAACGAAGATATATGAAGAAGGCTAGGGAAGAGGATATAAATGATCCAACCAAGAACATGGACTTTGGTATGGGTAGAATTTCGAGAACCGCTGGTGGAGAATCAGGAATCTCAAACTTCGATGACGAGAAAGGAGGTGCTGTAAGAACACGACAAATGTCCTTGGATCTGGGAGGTAAAAGTCCATACTTACTACCACCGGAACTACAAAATTCTAGGGAAAGCCTTCATTCGCTCTCAAGAACAATCCATTCGAACGAGGATCCTTATCGTCCAGTACATGAAGCTGTTGGGGGTGGCTCTGTACGTTCCAAACAGGGCCGCAATGGATCTTCAATTATGACTGAATCGAGTGCTGCTCCTTCCAAAGCGTACGATGTTGGCTCGCCAGATGGACAAGGTCTCCTATCAAATGCGGCTGCAATGTCAAGAACAACTCCACCTTCAACCGACTTTGCTCCACCACCAAGATCAAACTCAATCCCACCTGCTAACATGCCAGCGGAACCAAAGCAAGCTGCTTCCCCACCACAAGATGCTGCCAGAAAAGGTCTACCAGGTAATCCACGCCCCCAAAATGGTTTCTCTTCTACTATGCCCGTTCCAATGCCCTATCCGGACCGGGAGTCTTATGCTGGAAACCAATATAATGCGATCAGAGATAGTAACAATTACCTAGGCTCCTTAATCATTTCTGATCCCTCCGCTGCTGCTTCAACTGGTCCCGCTGAACCAAAGCCAAATACAACTCGTAAAGCACCCCCTCCAGCAATCAACACGTTACCAATGAATGCAAAACCTACTCCACAACAGCAACAAAAGCCCCGAAACTCTGAGATTAGTGATTACGGTGATGGAATCGAGATCACACCACCATCCCCTGCTCGCGAAATCGCAAAAAACAAGGCAAATCGTTACTCCATGGATGTCCCACCTGAAGAATTTGCTCAAGCTGGTTTGGGTGCTCCCGGATTTGACCCTAAAAGACTTTCCATGGGCTTCCGACCATTACCTCCCGATGCTCCAGCTGATGCTTCAGAAGATCCTGAAACTCGTGCCAACAGAATTAGATCTTTCTATAAGGAATATTTTGATGACTCAAAGCCAGCACCACAAGGTCAATACATTGAGGATTATGATGCGCACTACCCTGGCCCAGGAGATTCTACTTACTTCGACCCAGCTACCAACAGCTTCGTTTTGCCATATGCTGAACCTATCTCGCGTCGTGCTATGACACCACCTCCACGTGCACCAAGATTCCAAGGAGCACCACCACGTTCTATGCATGGTTCAATGGGTGGTTCCTCAATGCGTGGACCTCCTAGAATGCCATTCAACGAAGGACCAAGAGCATCTTCATCTGCTTCTCAACGCGGTCCTGCGCCATCTCCAAGAAAGAATTTGCCACCCCCTGAACCCCTTACTTCGTTACCTACTCCATCCAAGCTCAGAGACGATTCATTTGCTTTACTCAACACACTCGACTTTGCACCAGAATTGAATGTCCGTGATCGTGTCGCCGGTCGATCTGAAAGTCCTTTTGGTGAAAGACGACCATATTCGCCTGCACTTCCAGCATTTGCACCAATCGTTGGAGCATATGATGAACTTGCTGCAATGCCAAGCCCGTAAGTTTTTCCCTTGGTTAATTATCTCATTTAAGAATAGAATCATTCAACTAACAAATTATACAGCCACATGTTGAGAAAATCTGGTACCTTCACATCCCTTGATTTCGCTCCTCCAAGAAGATTCAAGGATCCAGATACTATGAGTGATGCTGGTAGTATCCGAAGTACCAAGAGTGGAATCTCATCCGTTCAAGCAAATGCGATTAAAAACGGTGCTTATCGTGTCAGTAAAATTCCTCAAGATATCGTCTTTACCAGGGATGATATGGCTGCGACTCTGAAACCAGAATGGGGTATGCGTCAAGGTATGTGAGGTGTAAGAGATGCAAAATTTTAGGGATGTTTACTTTGTTCTTTCTGGATTGATGCATTTGAGCGCGCATTTTTGAGGTTTTCATACCTGTTTAGCCCTGTCAATTGTCAATATTGGGTGTCGATTTCATACTTTATTAACATGACGATGATTTACCATACGTGATTGTCAAACGATGGACATGGTTATTTGTTTTGTCGAAAGAAGTGCTGAATTGATCTTGAATTGGTCTCTTCGAATGTGGATTCTTGACAGCTGGAGAATAATGTCTTTTATTGTAATTAGATGGGGAAATTGGGATTGGAGCCGAAGGAGTTCTGTTTTGTGTTTTTACCATTCGAGAAACACATCTTAGGGATTTTTTTTTGTGGCGATTTCAGGGTTCCGCGATTTGCATATAGATATTACACCACATTGAGAAATTCGAATGGGGGTGAATATATGTGATGAGAAATGTGGGAGTGAGGGGAGATTGATTGACTTGGAAAAAGTGAGATGAGGTGGTATCTGGTTGTCGAGAGAGGGTCAGGAGGATGGTGGAATTTGAGAGAAATAGGATATGGACGGGAAAGGAAATGGGGATCATGGTCGTCAGTCAATCAATCAGTCTTTCTTGTATAAACTCAAAAAACAAAATCATAAAAATTGAAAATTCAAATCAGATACATTTTACATTTACATTTACAATCAATTTGTGGTCTACTCGGATTAGTTTTACGTGCAATCATGCTTCGAGGGAATAGAGTGAGGTTTGTGTCTAATGTGAAGCATAAGATGATAATTCGATAGGTTGATATATAGGTAGGTGTAGATTGAGGGATAGAGAAAGAGGTGTAAGGAAGTGGTGAAATGAGGGGTGGGGGTGTATGGGAAGAATGAGTGATGAAGAGGAGGATGGGAATGGAATTGGAATTGGAATTGGAATTGGAATTGGAATTGGAAATGGAATTGGAAATGGAAATGGAATTGGAATTGGAAATGGAGATACAGAGATCGGGATGTATGTATGTAAACTAGGGATTGAGAATTTTTGCTAGGGATTTGGATTAGAGATTGGAGTTGAGGATGGGGTGGAGGTGGAGGGAGAGGGGGAGGTTGGAATTGAGATTGAGATGGGATTGGGATTGGAAGTGTATGAGGAATGGGTAATGAGTGATGAGTGAACCATGAGCGTGAGGGTTTATTCTTATGGTATGGATATATTGTGCTCAGTTCAGTTGTGTTGTACTGTACTGGGTGTAATGTACTGTATTGTTAGTTTGTTCAGATTGGACTGTGGACTATGGACTATGGATGGTGGGTTAGTAGGTAGTTAGTGGAGAGTCAATAGGTGAGTGGCTGGATGGATAGATTTGAGTGGGTGATTTTATGGGGGGATTGTTCGATGGCATTTTTGGCGGGTTTTTTGGTAGGGTTGTGTATTGGATGGTTGGATGTTTGAAGATGGATGAAGATGGAGATGGAGATGGAGATGGAGATGAAGTGGTTTGGGTGGGGAAAGGGGGGTGGAGGGAGAAAGACAGACGTGGAGTGGTAATGAATCCAGTTGTAGGGGATGCGGAGGATGAATGAGTAGATGGATGAATGTTTAGAAAAGAGAGAGGGTATAGTATGGTGTGATATGGTATGGTATGAGAGATGAGAGCGTAGAGGTGGATTAAAGTATGGTGTCATTTATGTATGTGGATTTGGATATTGGTTTTAGTACTGGTGTTGATACTGTTGTGGCTGGATGGTTAGTTGGATTAGATGAGATGCTTGGGAATGAGGGCGAATGGATAGATCTGATGAAGTGATTTAGGGGAAAGATTGTTTGGTGGTGTTTTTATGGGAGTGCACACTGGTGATGAAGAGGTTAGAAGTGTGAAGGATTTTGCGGAGAGAGGGGTTTGAAGGGGAAAAGGTGAGGGATGGCGTGGTATAGAAGTAATATAGGATTATATTGTGGTAGTCAGGAGTGCAGTGGCTCGACTGTAGAGTATATCAGGAGAAAATGAGATAGAGATGTGAGCCATGCAGTGCGTGCCAGTACTGGTAAGTTTCTCCGTGGCCACTTTCCTCCTTGCGAATCTCTGAGGAATTCGACAAAAACATCTTGTGTGTTACTTTCAGCATCTGTCTTTCATTCCTTAGTAAATACGGAAGTCTCGCTAGTGGGATGGATACTTATAGACTAGGTAGATGTATCATCGCATTTCAAAATGAAATTTGGAGAGTAATGATTGAATTCTGGCCTTTCATCTGTATTAAATAAAGTGGTCGACCTGATTATCCGAAAACCATTGAAAGGGTAGGCGGTATTGTTGGTTGGGGTTTGTGCTGTGAGGTATCGCATTGTGTAAGGATATGGAGGGTATAGTAGCTTGGCCTTTGATTGCTGGTAGCGCGTTAAGTGAGGATGGAATGTCTTCTTGTCTAAATGATTCTATCTTCGAGATCTGGGGATGATAGTGGTTGAACGCGGCAAAAATGTCATCTTGTGGAAATAAAACCTAATTAGCATGTTTATGAGTAATCGGAGAAGAGACGAGATCAGATTTGAGAGTGTGAGCATAGTATATCGAGCCCGTGGTATACTTCCGATAGTTTAGCGACCATCAAGTTCCTTTCTGATGTTTGAAAGAAGATCTTTATGGCTTCCAAGACAAATCCAAGATGATTTGAGGCTCTCAAGCTTCGGAGGAACTAGCTCGTTGCTCATACTTTTCCTGGGTGAAATGAGATGAAAGGTCTCTCTGGCTCCTTTCTTTGATTTTTAGATTTTTGGTGACGCATGGAGACTGTGACGCCAATAGTCAATACCTACAAACATGAATAGAGAAGCCAACTTTGCGGGAATGTAATACCAGGAGCGTCGATTTTCAAACCACCTTTCGCGGCATAGCAACAAGAGAACAAAAATATGAGAGTAAATACTAATCAGTGGGAAGAATAATTGTAGCTGAAATTGAGGGTATGTATCTTGCCAGTGGGATAACTTATTTGGAGAGATCGTTTATCGCAAGCTCTTGAAGAACTCTTCCGATGGAAGTGGATGAGAAAATACTGGTGAATTCATGTCCTCGCCAACGATGTCCACTGGAGATGTTTGCTGAGATACACAGATTCTCGATCCGTCCTTGTAAGATTTCTACTAAGTGGCTGTGTGATACTTTCGAAACTTGTATAGAAGATAATAGGGCTAGCATTATGAGTCTTCTTTCTCTTTCCTTTCGAGCTTTAGGATGAGAACAATATAAGAAATATGGAAAAGAATATGAGAAATAAGGAATCAAGCAAAAGTCTCAAGGGAGTATAGGCTGAGAAAGCACGGAAAACAAATCATCAAACTCAAGCTAAGGAGTAGAAATGGAAACTTATAGGAAGGTGATAATGGGGTGGTGGAAATGCGAATATCTTGTTCGTTGACGAAGTCGTTGCCTTGTTCGCGACCGAAAATAGTGGGGAAGCACCAAACTCAGCGAGCCACATGCATAAGAAAAGTTGTGATTGGCTTTTCTATGCTTAACCATGAACTTCAACGTGGTTTGCAGACTCTATCACAGTAGTCAGCATACAATTGGCTAGCTGCAAATTCGCCTCAATACAACGTCAAGATAACCGCCCAGGTGATTGACACCTCAATTCTTGCCACCGATGCTCCCAAAAGTACTCAAGAACACTTTTCTGTTCAATATTTATCCCCCCCCCCAGAAGTTCTCCTCTAATCAATCTCAATGCGCTTATTAGAATGCAATAGCGAAGAGCAGTTCGTTCTGGTCAGAAATATTGATGGCAATGATGTTCCAAAATACGCTATCCTATCGCATACATGGAGGGCAGAGACAGACGAGCTCACCTTCCAAGACCTTATGAATGGTACTGGACAGGGAAATTCTGGGTACAGAAAACTTCAATTCTGTGGAGAACAAGCTAAACGCGATGGCTTACAATACTTTTGGGTGGACACTTGCTGCATCGACAAGACGAGTAGTGCCGAACTTTCAGAGGCTATCAACTCTATGTTCCGCTGGTATCAGGACGCCACTAAATGCTATGTATACCTGTCAGATGTTTCAACGAACGTATACGATCAAACAAGTTCTTCTTGGCAACCAACCTTCAGAAAGAGTCGATGGTTTACTCGTGGTTGGACACTTCAGGAGCTTATTGCACCGAGATCGGTCGACTTCTTCTGCTCGAATGGTATGCTACTTGGCGATAAGAGATCTCTACAGCATTTAATCCACGAAATTACTGGGATAGATACGCCAGCTCTTCATGGACGGAATCTGTCTGATTTCAGCATTGATGAGCGAATGTCATGGGCAAAAAATCGCGAGACAAAGCGTGAAGAAGATATGGCCTATTGCTTATTAGGCATTTTTGATGTTCATATGCCACTAATCTACGGCGAACGATCAGAAAGCGCGTTTAGGAGGCTCACAGAGGAGATTGAAAAACGCCCAAAGAAACACACTCTTGATGACTCGCCAGTTTTTTCTGCTGCTGATTCCAGCTCCAGAAAACGATCAAAACTCTCACATTATGAATCTTCCAATCACGTCTCACGCATCCAGACTGTAGGAGGCTCCGAAACCCCTTGTCAGTATCCTACGCATGATATTGATGCTATCACGAGGCAATCTATCATAGATCAACTCTACTTCCCCAAGATTGATGAGCGTCTAACAAGTTTGACTGCTGCCCAAGGGACAACATGCCGTTGGTTTCTTACCAAATCGGAATACTTATCATGGAACGATGTTTCAAAACGGCAAGATCATGAAGGATTTCTTTGGATCAAAGGCAACCCCGGTACCGGGAAGTCAACTTTGATGAAACTCCTCTTTGAGGAGGCTAAGCTTAATACAAAAGGCGGTTCCTCGAAAATCACATTATCATTCTTTTTTCTGGCACGAGGTACGATTGAAGAGAGAACAACTACTGGCTTATACCGCTCTCTTTTGCACCAGCTTTTCGAAAAGATGATAGAGCTCAGAGATAGCTTGGAGTGGATGACAGCCGATGGCGCGAGAGGCATTGAAAGAAATGGTTGGAGTGAACCAGCTTTAAAGCAGACGTTAAAGCATGCTATAGCAAAGCTTGGAACCAGGTCACTGATGATATTTGTCGATGCGCTGGATGAATGCGATCAGAAGCAAGCAAGTGGAATGGTTTCGTTTTTTGAGGAATTATGTGAGCTTGCAGAAGTTTCGCAAGTTGACTTGCAAATATGCTTTTCTAGTCGACACTATCCCACTATAGTCATCCAGAGGGGTATGGAACTGACTCTAGAAGATGAACTTGGGCATATGGAAGATATTCAGCACTATATCAAGTCAAAATTAAGGCTAGGCAAATCCAAACAAGCCGAAGCACTTCGGTCCGAAATCCTACAAAAGTCTTCCGGCATTTTTCTCTGGGTCGTCTTAGTTCTTGACATCCTCAATTCTGAGTATACATCTGGCTCTATTTCTATTAAGAAAATCAGTGAGCGCCTCAACGAAATTCCACCAGGACTAAATGATTTGTTTGAAATGATCCTTAAGCGGGATGGAGAGAACCTCGAAGAACTACAAATTTGTCTGAAACTAATTTTATTTGCAAATCGTCCCTTGAAACCACAAGAACTCTATTTCGCAACTCAAATCGGTCTTGATGAAGATTGCACGGGCTTTTGGGACCAGGAAGATATCAATATTGACCAAATGAAATTATTTGTGAGGAGCTCCTCCAAAGGCTTGGCTGAGGTGACCAAAAATAAAGCTTCGGATGTACAGTTTATCCACGAGTCTGTTCGGGATTTTTTGTTGGGTAGATACGAGACTCAACTGTCTGGAATTCCCGGAAATTTTGTCGGCCATGGGCATGACACGTTGAAGAATTGTTGCTTAGCTCAACTAAACGGTGTCATCAACCATAAGGTCATAGCACATTTCAACTTTAGCAAATCAAACTTCTGGGAATGTCGTAATATGAAATATCCATTTTCGAATACATTAGAGTCCGACAAGCCAGTCCCCAATGGTCAACGTTCCAAGGAAACACAGTCAAAGTTGCAAGAGGAAATTAGAATGAAGTTCCCATTTCTTGAGTATTCAGTGTCCAACATCCTGTATCACGCGAATCTTGCTCAGCAGAATTACATGGAGCAGGCAGGCTTTCTAGCAAAATTTCCCACCCGTCTATGGGCATTCGTGAATAATTATCTCGAGAATCACGAAATTCGACGATATACGGGCTCGGTAACTCTTCTCTACCTCCTAGCAGAAAGAAACCTGGCCAATCTCATTCGAACACGTTCCAGAAAAGAGTCTTGTTTTGATATAACAGAGCAGCGATATGGTCCATCAATTCTTGCTGCTCTGGCTACTGGGAGCGATGAAGCTGCTCAGACGCTCCTTAAGATTGAAGCTGAAACACATCCCTCAAAATCTCTACTGCATGACTTGTGCAAAAAATATCACCCCAAAAATAATAAAAATACCAAACTTGGACGGAGCTTCATTTACACACAAAAGAAAAATCTTGTGTTTCAACTTTCACAGTACGACCAGGAGATACCACTCGTCTTTAAACTCAGTTTGGACGAGAGTTTGTTTGATCCAAATCTGACCGATCGTGGCAAGCGCTTGCTAATAGAGGCTATTGAAAGGGGTCATTGTGTTGTTGCTACATATTTGTTGGAGAGGGGTATCGATGCCCACCGTGCAACCGTAGTTGGTAAGGTATCACTTCTGGAGAGAGCTGTGAGATCTGGCTATGCGAATATGGTAAAATTGCTATTGGAGTTTGGCGTTGAGATTGATTGTTGGAACTGGGGCAACGAAACACCCTTGATAATAGCCATTCACGAAGGACATTTAGACATCGTCGAATTGCTGTTGGAGAAAGGCGCTGAGATCAACAATGGAGGAATTAACAAACAAACACCTCTGATGGTTGCTGCTACTTGTGGAAACAAGAATTTAACTCGGTTGCTATTGGAGAAAGGCGCTGAAATTGACTGTCGCTTTCAGAATCAAACGCCTTTGATGATGGCTGCTTCTCATGGGCACGAAAATGTAGTTGGGCTACTATTAGAGAATAACGCTGAAGTCAATTGCGTTGACTTCAACGATGAAACACCAATTATCAAGGCTATTATTGGTGGGCATGCTAGCATAGCGAGTTTGTTATTCGGAAAAGGCGCTTGTTTTGATTGTGAAAGGGATATCTTTGGGATAGTGCTGTTAAAATCTTCGCAATCCGGGCGCGAAGAAATCGCTAAGTTTCTCTTACAAAATGGCATGAATGCAAACCTAAGAGATAAGAGTCCAGTGTATAAAGGCTGGACTCCGCTAATGCACGCTACTAGTCATGGTCACGAGGCAATGACTAAATTACTGTTGGAAAATGGTGCCGATGTCAACGTGAAATGCGATAGTGGTTCGACATCATTATATAGAGCTGCTGCTGGGGGATTCGAGACTATTATAGAGTTGTTGTTGTTGAAGGGGGGTGCCAAAGTCAATCCAACAATGGAATATACTTGGGATCCACTTCTAGGCGCTATTGAAAATAGTCACGAGTATACAGTTGCACTTTTATTGGAGCTAGACTTTTACTCCGAGGCTAAGAATGGAAAAATAAATCTGTTATTGGTACAGGCTATCAGAAAAACTATTGTTTTGGGGGAGCTGTCAATACTTAAATTATGCCTAGAGAAGTTCCATGTTATCAATCAGAAGGACAAAAGGGGTCAAACGCCGTTGTTTTGGGCGATTTATCGTGGTCGAATGGAAATGGTCAATTTATTATTGGATAAGGGTGCTGATATTGATGCGAAGGATGAGACTGGGCGAACACCATTGTCATGGGCTGTCACTCAAAACAATGAGGCTACGATTAGACTGTTGTTGGATAAGGGCGCTGATGTCAATTCAAAAGATCAGGATGGCCAAACACCACTATCATGGGCCCATATTATTGAGAATGTCGTCGCAATTGAGCTGTTGACGAGAAAGCGACTCAGTTACATGCAATTGAAACACGATGTCTAAAGATCAAGCATTTAACTACCAATCACGAACTGGGACTCCAAACGATCAACTGCAAAGGTGGGTGTATTCTCCTCATTGTAGAGGAAGGTTTAACGCACCATTATAAATAATATCATGCTAGGAGAAGCTACCGCTTTACAGCATTTCTACCGTGATGTGTATGCAATCGACGCCGGCATAAAGAGAAACAATTACTTACGCTAGCCAAAACAAATGTATTCGAACGTCAGAAGAGATGACTATTGGAGGAAAACCGTCAGGATTATGATATAATTGACGTTGTATGTGCGAGTTATCACAGAACGATATAAATTCACGAAGAAGCCCTGGAAATGTTCGTGCTTTGTCCAATGCCATTGACTGTTGTGCTTCCCTCCATGCTTTTATCGTACTCATTTGTTTGGTTTTGTTTACCAATGGAAAGGTCACAAACTGTTGGCAAATCCAAAGATCGGCGTTGTTGCGTCTATAAGATCACTTGAGGCCGGGTCCAAACATTCAGGACCATCGCCAATCTCAAATTCAAAACAATCGAAAGTCCAAAAGAGGCGCAAAACTCAATACAATAGTCATGACATGGATATTTAACAATGATTCTCTCAAGTCTATACGGAGGACAACAAGCGACCGTCGACGGACTACTACCTCCTTTTCATAACTACGCAAAGCAGGGACATATGAAATGAAGAACAGACACTGCCAATGAATATGCACTCTCCGCAAATTCACGTTTGGTGTCATATTCAAGTTGCCCGCGACTCAACTCCCATGTGCAACCGGCAAAACACCATCTCAGGCACATTGAGCCACGATTTAAAACATTTTCAACACAAAAAGCAAAATAAATGCAACTGCCGTGAATCGAACACGAACCTCCACCTTGGAAGGGTGGAATCCTAACCATTGGACCACAGAAGCTTGGTGAGCTGATACACTGCTTTCCTGATTGATGAACAAGTATATTCATTTTGAATATATAAATATGCAGCAAGAAAATTTTCCATTTGTGGAGTTGGGTGGGGTGGGGTGGAGTGGAGATAATTTTCGTGTGAATGCCCTTGGACCCCCTGGCGTGGACGAAGCGAGACGATAGTGGATATTGAATAGGGTCTTGCCGTGGCTTTGAGAGTGGAATACTAGAGACGATACTACTTGCTGTCTGTTGATCAGGGTTTCTCGGGGGTATGGGGAATTGGTTATAAGGGAGTATAGGGGTTAGAATAGCTAGATTTCGGCGTCACTTTTGTCGGATTTGATGATGAATGTATGTGATTTTGTTGTTGTTTTGCACACTTATTGCTGTGAATATTCTGTATAGTACACTCATGCTCGAGCGAAACGGGGAGAAATTTATAGGGAAAACTGTAGATTAGATGGCAAGAAATTTCATTAGCGCTTAAAATGGACTACTTTAACTCGTGCGGACATTTAATTCCCATATACAACAGGAAATCACACTTCGGTCTCTCGAGACGAAGAGAGTTCAGGTAGCGTTTCCTCTGCTGATAGCATTTCAATTGAGAGTACTTCACTAGAAGTGATAGGATTCTTATTTTGCCAATTTCTAAGGGCACTTTCCCTGTGCTTAAACAATGAAAGCCGGAGACGGCACAGAACAGGACTCCATCACCCGTGTAGCAGATGTCAAACACGCAGACACTTTCTACATGCTTCATAGTTACGTCTATGAGTACCTTTTTCCAGTGAGGTATCTAATTCCGCTGCTACTCAACGCCTCTATTTGTCTTCCATGACCAGCCTCAAAAAATCCAACGTAGCAAAGTAAATTTCGAACACTATCGAAATGAAAAATAGGATTCAGAGACAATTATTCAGCACTTGCATACTGTAAGATTGCCTACCCTGAAAGCTCCCCTACAGGCCCTCTGACATAATGTACCATCAAAGTTTTTAAGATTTGATGCTCGAGAGTAAGCTGGTTTGTGCAGTCAACAGACTCTGCGCGTTTAAGCTGGAGTGAATGAATGGTAAGGTACTTTTTTTCTTTTTTCTTTGCTGAGGAACTTCAATGGCGACAGTAATGCAATATAAAAGAGGCTGTGATACTAAATCAGAGTTTTGGCGCAAAGAATATCCAGTTTTCCATGCTTGAAGTCAGTACCCCCTCCCCAAATATCGATCTTCGCGCGCATATCACTGATTGTTAATATAAAATAAGCAATGATCCAGGATTCGTCACCATGGTTTCAAGAACTGGGTTGCTATTGTCGATCATGTTACTAATCCGCACCATTGTCGGATCGTTGCCGAAAATATTCGTGGTCAACAGGGAAGTGAGGGGTATTGATATTGTTGTAGTCGCTGGATCGTCATGTTGTTCTATTAATAGATTCTGTTTCTACATCTATAACGCGCGTAGATAATAATTTACAGACACAAGCACAAGCCCAGGCATTGTTCTTCTTGCATGATTCAGAAAACGATGTAACAGGAATAAATGGGAGATATCCAAAGGTATTATATAGCATACAAATATGCTACCATAAGAAGAACGCACTTATTAGATGGAGATACAAACCGTTAACACTCTCAAAGCTTGATATTGCAAACTAAGAAACTCCAAAATTGCGACTATATAAGGACCTCCTCCATCTTTCAGCTTTATGAACATCTCCCTAAATCCCCTTGAAGAACTTGCCGGTTCATGGGGGATCGACAAAGATAATCCCGATCACCATTTATTACCGTTCCGATCAAGAACCCATCAAATCGGAGCGCGTCCTCGATTTGGGGCATTGTTTTATTGTTATTATTGGGGGATAGGGCTGATCATTGCTGCCATAATATATGTAAAGAGTATTATTCAGAGAATTCAACGACAGCAATAGATGGTCCGGGTTTCAGCGACAAGTGAGAAGGGGTTGATTGATGGATGAGCAAATGAATTTCCCTGATCAAACTCAGATGTTCAAAGATATGGGCTGTAACTCAGTAGTAATTCCTGCATATATCTAATTAAAGTGCTTGATACATGTTAGTCTTTGAATATTCATTGCGTAATGACTTGATTCCGAAAGATAGAGGTAGAAGGATAGAGTAAACCAGATGCAATCACCAGACTGTCAAGCCAATGATGACTGTCTCACTCATTCTCTTCAGAAAGGTAGATGACGCGTGTGACCAGACCTCTTTGCAGTAAATGTATTTGTCTTATGGAGGACTGGGGATCGATTACTTAGAAGCTTGAGGTATTTGACAGAAGTAAATGTGTGAACTGTTGCTTTTTCCACACGTTGCATAATGATACCAGGTGACTAACACTCTGACCTCCACTGCGTAAACTTAAATAAAATCGAAGAAACAGAAAGCCGACAAGCCTGGCTTGTTTAGTCGTTGCCATAAGGATTTTACATTGCCTAACAAAAGAAACTACCCGGCTTAAGGCTTATCCTTTCGGTAGTAAGCTAGAACGCCGTGTGGTACTTACATCTTGCAAATTGACTGTCTGCGATTTGGTCTCTCCGCTCAAAGGTTTCGAATCTGTCTTTCAGGCGATCAAACAATTGATCGTGTGATATGATCTTGTATATTTTATGACTAATAAGAATAGCATTGATCATTAACTACGAAGAATGCTTTCTTGCAATTGTTGAGAACCAGAATAATACCAGCATTTGCAAGCATTGCGAGTGAGAAATTGGACAAGTCGAAAATGTCTGTTCCCTTGCTCTTCCTTTCCCAAGAGTCTCACAAACGTAACTTGTTGTAATTCTAATTCGAGAGAAGCACTAAGATGGAAGTAAACCTTGAGGTCTAATCCTCCTGGATACAACTTCTCGAAGGAAAAATTGACATGCATACTACAAAAAAAAGTTCCTTCGAAATGAATGCCCGAATTATGGCCAAAAGTCTAACCTCTGTTCCTTATCTTGGTCCTTGACAAAACCTTAAGCAAAACTGATTGCTTGGGCTCGGAACGGTGAGTCAAATTTGACCGCATTGCAATCATCATAAAGAAAATATGTGATGGGGGCCTGTAAGGGCCTGTGAGGGCCTGCTCATTGATAATGAAATATTTTTTTCTTATCGTCGATGACCCAGCAACTTTCTTAGATATACGATTTACCCCTGGAAGCGAAAGAGCAATACGGTATCCATCTCGGCCCCTACCGAATGGACATCGCAGCGTTGCTGCCATCATGCCATGTGGCCATGCCAGAGAAAACTAGGTGGATTCTTGCACACCTAAGCTAGCGGTGTGAATGCGATCGGTTGTGAAGGGGTAGCGAAAATTTGCATTGTAGGAATTTTATTATCGGAGAATAAAAAGAACCCGGTAGTGACCAATGTTCTAGAATATGCAATCTCACCACATGAATATTTCTTTCAGGAGCACGTTCTCACAGTGGAGAGTGGCTTGCTTCGGCCTTCACTTCTCTCGTCGGAAATTCCGAGTTTATTGTCAGCCATGTAGTGTGATTGGGCAATGGTGGATCACACATGCTGCGGAAATGAAGTCTGATAGTGGAGTGCCAGCAATAGTGGTATTGTGGATGATAAAGTTCGCACGGCCAAAAGCGTGGGGGTTCAAGCGGTGAATTTGTTTGGTATTTGAATGCGATGATGGTGAAGTACAGCACTTTGCATGCCACCACATCTGAATTGACGATATTTCCATGTGTTGGGGTGTTGACGTGTTTAGTTTGTGTGGGAGTTCTTTCAGAAATCGATCGCCCAAACGCTGAGTGGACAGATAATGATCGGTACTCATGGTGTCATCGAAAGCCGATGAATAGAATCCAGCAGGGCAATGAACTTTTCCTCTTCAGAATTGATATCTTTGCGTGCATCGAACTATGTCAATAGAATGAAAAGTCTATTTTGAAACTGGCGAGATGAGTTCTATTTCGGATACCCCTTTACCCATGTTGGACAGTCCGTCTCCGGAATCAATGGCGGTCGATGCTCATTACAGAGTAGACATTTCACGGCAATCCGAGGAGGAACTGAAACTGCCGTTATAACAACAACATGTAGGTTCCAAACGTGCTCAAGATGGATTCTACTTTTGGCAAATTTAAGTTATCAATCAAGCATTCGTCAGTTTGTCTCTAAGTGACAAATTGATCGCCTTGATCGTCTTGATTGACCTGTCCCATGATTATGATTATCAGGATTAATTAGCAACGTAGTTATATGTGGTAATTATTATGGCTGTGTGGTACGAAGTATACGCATGCAAGGCATGTTCGTATGGTCTGTGAGTACATTGAGATGAGCTGACGAACAAATCGCTGGATGTGCGGGTATTTGTAATGGTTGCTAAGAATACAAACGGGAAAATCAACGCAAGGGCCCGTATGATACCTAAGAGTTGAACGAGAAAGTACGAAGTAGGAGGTAGGGAAAAGGAAGGAAAGAGGGAAAGAGAGAAAGAAAGATGGCGTGTGGAAAATAGGGTATGGGAGTGAATGATGAGCACAATACGTAACGTTGTTCCAGAAAAGGCCGGTATGCATGAGTGATGAATGGTGAGTGGTGATGTCTCGAAGCGCTGAAATCCTTAAATTTTGTTGAAATCTAATTCTAATTCTGTATAGAGCGATAACGATATGATCAATTGATGATACATAGGTAGGTACCTACACTTCATATCGCGTGGGAAGTGTAAGCCACATCTGTCATCTAGCAGCGGGCACGAAGATGGGTCCATCGATACTAGATAGTCTCTTTGGGTCTTTTGGGTCTCTTGGGTCTATCGTCTCGTCCATCTCGTCCATCTCGTCCGTCTCGTTTCGTCTCGTCTATTCTAGTATTCATGTTATATCTTGTAGTGTGATGTGTCCTGCGTGTCAGCTTGGAGCTTGAAGCTTGTTCAGAGAGAACCACCGAATTTTTCACCGATTAACGGGGCATTGAAGATGTTCGAAAGGGGTCCAGATGATCGAAGCGCCGTCAAGAGTTAGGGAACACACATAAAAAGTTCCAGAGGCGATTAGACTTTCGAAAGTGGACATCTAGGAGAATTCTAACATCTATCAATGAAGGAAGGGAGGGAAAAAGTGATGGGAAAGGTTCCGAGCTTTTTTTTCTCCCTACCTTTCCACTTTCTCCTCTTACCTCTTTCTTGTGCAATATGTGCCAATGTCAAAAGTTCGAAAGGCTCGGATTTACCAAATTCGTTCTTCCGGTCGTGCAATCCTTGTATTACCCAGATAGGTAATATTTGTATTTGGTTACCCCTTGCCCTTGCCCTTGTTCTACGCCACGCCAGCCCTGATCGTAGTAAGTTTTTTCGCTCCCGCTGCGGCTGCATGATTGATAGGGCAAAGCGGAACGGGGTATCTCTGTGTGATATTAGGCCTTCTAGAAAGATTGTGAATTGTTGAGAATTGAAATTCACCATCTTCGGATTTGTAAAATGGTGAATTGCCATTTGCGGTGCACATAGGCTTCGGAGATAGGTCAAAACTGCTGGTTGAAATATGGATATCCTTCTCATTCTCGTTTCAGACATCAAATCTATCTGCTTACATACAGTAATTGTTTCAACTATCACCATCTCTATCTCTATCTCTGTCATGATTCACGATTCATGATGCACGACTTACCATAGACGACACATTTAAAGGTGTCATTTAAGTTTTTATTTGCATGTGAAATCTTCTCATATTAGTGATACCGGCATTTCAAAATGAGCGAACTCCAATAGCTGAAAGAACGCGAATCAGTCAACGGTGGCCAAAGTATTATCCGAAAACTCGTAAATCTCTCTATGTTTTCCGGAGATGCGAAAGAGCGTTTGCATGTTCATGCACGAAAGGATACCTATGACCCGCCCATATATACACTACTGCAAACAAACAGCTACCCATTATTCGATGGTAAAGCGCGAGATACGATGAAGCCATTTGTATATTTTATTGAAGAAAAAAATGGTCCATCAAACAACTTTTGTGACTAGTAGATGCAACTCAAAGAGAGATCACAGTCACAAGCACGCAGATATCTCCCCTACAGCCGTCACCTCACAGCGTAGTCGTCGCAATCCACCCACTTACTCTGTACTCCAATTCAAATCCGGCATGAGTCCCGACCCCCGAAGGATAGATCTCCATATCAAGAGACCAAGCATATGCGAGGGAAGCCTTCATCTCCAGCTGAATGGCTCGCTGCCCAAATATCACTGCTTCTATGACGGTGGGTCTCATTCATTTCGAACCTTGAAGCCCCCCCCCTATACTTTTGTGGGTAGCTTGTCCCTCACTACCACATTTCGGTTTTGAGATTCAAGGCAATCTGTACGGAAGTGGAGAATACTCTCTTTATCTTTTGGAACCAATGCAATCATCAACCTCGCACCTGATCATCAGGACTTAGTAGCCTTGCTTGAGAACGGCGTTGTGAAGACGCTCTACCGGTCATTGGAGGGATTGCATGAAATCCTTGAATAATAGTTGGTCCCTTCCACCCATGACAGTGTTCCTTGATTCAGATTCAGTCCATAAATGCAGTTCGCCAAAACACATCACGAATATCAACCCATTTGTCTCAAAACAACTACGGGACTCATCAATGGTTACAGGCCATTTGAATCCACTCGGATGCTACCCTCGCATGCCAAGTGTGATCCGTGCCAATTGAAAGTCACCAAACCTTAATACCTATTACTGATATTTTGAGGGCATCGTGAAAAGTGTTCATGGGCAGAGCTAGAAACTTTGGGACGATTTCCATGCATAGTAACATTGCAATTGTCACTCCGGCAGTGAGAAACCTGTTTCCATAGTGTTTCTAACTTCTGGACTCTAAGCATCTATTATGGATTAGATAGGACAGGATGGATAGGATAGGCAGGTTTAAGGATTATCTTATCATATCGGGGACCATTTGAGCTTTTTCGAGGTAAGGATAAAGCTTTGGGCCAAACGCTTGCTCTGTCCTGTACCATAGATTTCTTCATCCATTTTTGAAAGAGGCAACAGGCCAAAGAAATCTGGATTCTCGTACTTCAAGTAGTAAGTAGTATAATTATTTTTCCTTGGTTCAACTCCACTCCACTTCACGTCCCATTGTTCCTACCCTTTCAAGAGTTCAAGAGACTAATCCGTACCAGTACTTATTATAGTCAATCCAGTGTCCACTAGTGCTTTGCGTCTTTTACGAAGTACGGAGTACAAACCGTTGATTTTCTCCATTTATTCATTTATCTCTCTCCTCTCTGCCCCTTCTCATTCGACTTTTCTTCTTATCTTTAGACACCAGAATCCTTTGTCTTCTTCATTCATTCACCACCATACATCCAACCCCTTCATCTTCTTCGTCTATTATATCTTTTCCATTCCATTCTTTATCGTTGACTCATCAATCAATTTTCATTACAAAGGAAGACAGATTTTTAATCTTTGTGAAAACTTCTACCCGGCTCGCCAGGTTTCTATTCTTCGGACCTTTTTATATCTTGTGGCGTGTCAACCAAGATTTTGGTGCGGAAAAGAGTGTACGCCAACTCTTAGTTAGCTTGCATCATACCCTGAAAGAATCGGTCCCTACCGATCGCCGAGCTTTATTAAACACCCCCACCAACCAATCGATATCTTCGACGCTTTTCAAGAAAATTCATTCTTTATATATCGTCTTTTATTTTACAGGCCTGTTGGAGGTGATCATTTCAAAGATCAATTGGCCTGGAAACATCGAAACCCAACAGTATATACAATGTCCGGCGAAAACGTCTCGTCGAGCGGAAGCAATAACGAAAATATTCCCACCACCTATAGGGAACTAGTATCTGGGGATGTCAGCCCATCTGATAGTATAAATGGAAGTGCAATCAACAGTGGACTCAACAGTGGAATCAACAGTGCATCCCCAAGCAGACCGAATAGTGCAGGAGGAAATCCACCAAAAAATCGAGGAAGAGTTAGATTCAATGCCACCAACGAAGCAAATGATTCGGAAAACAAGAAGTCCCTTCACCCATTGAGGGATAAGTCTGTCTCACCTCAGAGAATGCTACATCAGTTATCAATGCCAAAATCCGCCAAATACACACCATCTCATTCAAGAAACAGTAGTTCCAATTCGTTGATGAGATTCACACCCGATAAGGAAAAGGATAACCCATTCTCAGATTTAGCAGTTATCAATAATAGTCCAGTTCCACCAACACCTGTCAGCAAACCGAGACCGAGTGTATTAAGAAACAACCCTGGTGGAGGATACAAGGCAGATCTATCGGATGTGGAAGAGAGCAATGAGAAGACATTCTCTGCTTTGGCTGCTCAGAGTAGAGCTCAGAGAATTGCTTCGCTGGTTGGAAGTCACTCGACACCGAACTCGAGAAGAAATAGTATAGACGACGACGCAGACGATTACCCATCTCCACGACCAAGGAACCCTGGCGGTCTTCCAGTTCGAATCGACGACATTCCACTCGTTCCAATGGACAGTAGGCCATATGATGGAGCAGATAGCGACGATGACATTCAGAACGAAAAGACGAAAGAATCGAGTTCGACCGAAGCACATAAACTCGTAAGATCTCACACAAGCAAAGGTCGAAAAGATGCATTCAAAATGCCTGTACCACGTCCAGGGTTGGTTTCTGGTCAAGTCACACCCGAAGATGAACATGGTATCATGGAAGAGTATGTTCCACGACCTCAACAATTTAGAGGTGGTGTTCTTTCATCACTGCTAAAGCTTTATAATGCACCCGCCAATGGAACCATGAGTGTTCCAGCTTCAAGAAGAAACAGTGATGGTTCCGAAGGCACTCTCCCAGTTTCCCTCGGATCTTCAGGAGTTACAACTCCAAAGAAGAATGCAAAATGGTACCATCAAAAGAGTCAATCTCAAGATACTCTCGCTGGTCTTATGGAAGCATCTGCGATGTTGGCTGCGCCTGTCGGAGGAACCTATACGCCCAAGAAGAAGGTTCCAAGACCTGGAATGGGAAAACGTACAAACAGTGGCAGACTTATTGAGACAGCCGCTAGACAACTGGCTGGAAAGCCGAGATTGGAGGACGAAATTCGAATCACTATCCATATCGCGGAGACTTTAAGCAGACAAAAATATCTATTGAAACTTTGTCGAGCACTAATGACATACGGAGCACCAACACATCGTCTGGAAGAATATATGAAGATGACAGCTAGAGTTCTTGAGATTGATGCTCAAGTCCTCTACATACCTGGCTGTATGATTATTTCTTTTGATGATGCATCAACTCACACCACCGAAGTAAAGCTCGTTAGATCTGTACAAGGAGTTGATCTTGGCAAATTGAAAGATGTTCACGAAATATACAAAGAGGTAGTGCATGATGTTATTGGTGTTGAGGAAGCCACACAGCGATTGGATGCGATCATTCATGCGAAGCCAAAGTATCATCCTTGGTTTTTGGTCATGGTATATGGTTTTGCAAGTGCCAGTGTAGCACCATTTGCTTTCGAAGGACGTCTCATCGATTTACCCATTGCATTTTTATTAGGGTCTCTTCTTGGTTTCTTGCAACTCATCGTTGCTCCCAAATCCGATCTCTACGCCAATGTCTTCGAAATTTCAGCCGCGGTCTTGACGTCTTTCTTGGCACGAGCTTTTGGTTCGATTCGAGGAGGTGATCTTTTTTGTTTCTCTGCCCTCGCTCAATCGTCCATCGCTCTAATTCTCCCTGGTTATATGGTTCTCTGTGGTTCCCTTGAACTTCAATCACGTTCCATGGTTGCCGGTTCCGTTCGTATGGTCTACGCAATTATTTATTCTCTTTTCCTTGGATATGGTATCACTATCGGCACCGCTGTCTATGGTCTTATGGATGCCAACGCTACCAGTAAGACTACATGCGACGCTCCAATGAACCAATATGTTCGCTGGTGTTTCGTTCCAGTCTTTACTTTATGCCTCGCAGTCATTAATCAGGCAAAATTCAAACAGATGCCCGTCATGTTAGGCATCTCATTCTCGGGCTATGTTGTCAACTTTTTCTCCGCAAAGAAGTTCCCTTCGAGCGCACAAATTTCCAATACTCTCGGCGCTCTCGCTGTAGGTGTGCTCGGTAATTTGTATTCAAGAGTCAGACATGGTGTAGCAGCAGCTGCACTATTACCTGCTATTTTCGTACAAGTTCCTTCTGGTCTCGCTGCTAGTGGTTCTTTGCTTGCAGGTTTGAGTACAGCGGATTCTATTACCAATAGTACGTCGTATGCGAATGGAACGACAAAGGTTAATGGAACAAGCTCCGTTAGCGTTGGGAGTTCTGAAGATTTAAATACGATTGTGTTCAATGTTGGTTATAGCATGATTCAAGTGGCTATTGGAATCACTGTTGGTCTTTTCCTGAGTGCGTTAATTGTCTATCCGTTCGGAAAGAGGAGAAGTGGATTGTTTAGTTTTTAGATGGGTTCTATTGTGTACAGGGTTTTATAGATGGAGTTTAGATTGGAAGAGAGATATACGCCACATTCGTATATATATGTACATGCAAATGTTCATTCGTTTGGTTTTGAAAATGCGATGGGTGGACAGAACATCGTGTTAGTACTTGAAGGAAGCTAGGAGCTGAATAGCAAGCGTCGGTGTTTGGGGGTCGCTGGTTGCCAGCCCTACATGCGGTAAATGAAGGGAAGGCGCAATCATTACATTCTTTTAACGGGCAAGCGAAGGGCTTAGATGGGAGTTATCATTTTCTGTTTCTTCTTTACTTGTTCATGACTGGAGTTTATACGTTCACTTCACTCACTCATTTTGGGACGGAATGCGATAGATGAGAAAAAGATGAGATTTAGATCGGCTTTACTTAGACTTGCTTTTTTGGTTTCAAAGGAAAATAGGTGGGGTACAAAGGATTGTAATGGGGGATGGATGATACCACGGCATGAGAAAATGGAGGGGAAGGAAAATTCATTGTAGCGATAGGGAGATGGGATCAATTGAATCGGGCAAAATCTTGGACTCAAAAAACTCTGTGTTGTCTATTTGTTGTCATGTGAAATCTGCATTGCCGGTAGTTTGCGTGAAAATTGGTTTCTTATGATGTCAATCTTCAGACCCTCTAACCATTCTTATTGACAACAACCGCATCAAAGGGACCAGATAGGGACTGGAGTAATGACGTGCTGAGGGCCATCAAGTTGTCTGTTGTACTGGGGGATTCGTAATCATGGAGGAGTGGAGTGGAGTGGAGTGGAGTATGATAGTGGAGAATGGGAGTGGGGGGCATGACGTGATAAAAATTATGGGAGTTGGTGTCGATTTTCAGGGTGTGATGAAGTGGGGTGGACGAGGGATGGATCATGGATTTATTTTATCTGGTGTGGAGGGCTAGGGGAGGGATGGGATGAAGGGATTATTTGAGTTGTGGAGGCGGGGATGAGATTGAGTTGGTGGGTAGGTGGGTGGGTGGTGATAGATCTTTATTTTGATGTGCGGGATGAAATGAGGGGATTGGTAGCTGATTTATTGTGGATGTGATTGGATTTTACTTGGAGAGGATGGGGAGATGAAAGTGCTTATTCGAAGAGAATATTGTGTCTAGGAAGGACCAAAAAAAGAAGAGGTTTGTGAACTTAAGGTTTTGAATTGTGGATTGTGGATGAACTCGAGAGAGGGAGACATGCCTTTTCGTCCTGGAGAATGGGGAGGATTTTTTTTTTTTCAAATTGAAATTTAGATAGATTGGAGAGCAGATGCAAAGTTTGGCATGTCAATCAAATTGCAGCTAGGTCCCTGATGACGGGGCGTAAGCGAGTGGTATGGTGGTACTGGTAGTCGTACGGAATACAACTGACGCGGAAATCTGTACCCGAATTTTCCAACGTTGAGAGAGATTCATTTGGATACTATAGTCTTTGTCATTAGGAAACATTAAAAGAGGTTTGAATCGTCCCTCGAAGAGCATTTTGTTCTACTCAACTTAGAAGATAAGTCACCGGGTGAGATCTATATCTTGAATATCTGATGGAATGACCTGATCGCGGTTTCTGCGCAGCCTTATGATGAGGAATTGTGGATGATATTCTGGAGTTAAGATTCTTTATCAAATGAGTTCTCAGAATTGAGTAGCCATGTGGTGCATCACGATCACAAAAATTGGAAAGGAGAAATGGTTGTATGTATGGAGTTGTAATCACATTTTGGATTGTTCTATTTCTCCAGATCAAAATATGACACGGAAAACATGCAGTTTGTTAATCGGTCAGAATTAATCTTTATATGAAGTTTAGCATATTAATTACTCGTCACAGCCCTCAAAGTAAACGGCCGCGTCTTTGGACTGTCCATGATGTCTTTCTCTTTAGTTATCTTATATCATTTCAGGCGTCCCATTCTCCTCGAAACGAATTGATCATATGTTCACACTCACTAGATGATGTACAAATTGGGAGTATGGATGTTGATTCTGATGCTTTTACTAGTATCTGAAAGCACCTCAAGGTTTCCTTCATGATCATTGTTGCACATCTTTAAGATTTCTGGCCTACGAAGATGAATAAAGTGTATCCTGATGATTCAGACCGTAGTATTTCAGATTCTATTCCTTACGTTGCTTCTGTAATATCTTTCTTTCCTTATTCTTTCTTACCCGCCTGTTGAAAAATCGCTATGGTCAATAACATAGCCTTAGTACGGACATGGCAGCTTGCCTTTGGAGTTTTCTATCGTTTCTCATATACTCTTTGTATAGCTCATGTGGCTCTTGAAGTTCCCCAGTCCATGAACGATGATTGACCTTTCAAGGACTGAGTATTGAGCAAGTTTGCATCGTCGGAATAAGATTTTATTATCCTATGATCGTGTACCATTGCCTTCGATGCTCTCGATGTGCCAACATGCGCGTATGCACTCTTAGGCAATAATACATGCACCCTTCCAGACATGGCGATGCATCCCGTTCTTTGTGAGGTAATGGCTTCTATATAACAATCACCACCTTTCTCTAGTAACGCCTCAAAAATCCATGCTTGGTTTGCTTCTCTACCAGAGGCGTTTCCAGCCTTTGAAAAAATAAGGGGCTTTTGGACACAGTATTCATGAAATGAAGAGAGCATTATGGCCAATGTACTTTGAAAAGCAGGAAGACATTGACATTGCTTCATTCTGATACTCCCACTTAACTTGACTGGTACACATCGGAAATGTCGGATCCGTAAATCCTTTCCTATATTCTGAACAGTTTGAAACAGAATGTCACCTGTCTATGCACATCAAAGTAACTGAATGATGGCTGAAAGCACTGCCAAATCTGATCCAGCTACTTTGACCGTTATGGAGCGTTTTTATCCCGTCATAAAATCCCAACTATAGATAGTACAGTCAAGCTCAATAAATTAGAGCTTGCAAAAGGTTTATGGCACATGCCACTGTAATTATTCAGTTCGAGAACTAGCCACCCTGAAGAACGCAGCGCTCTTGACAAACAACATCCAAGATGTGGATCAGCGTGAGCAATCAACAAGATGTTGTCACTGACGGACGGTATTCAATAGAAGCCTGAAAATCGAGCATGAGAAAACCTTCGCATGTAAAATCACTGGTCATTTCTATGAATGTGCGCAAGTACTTGGGTATCATTTTTCTCTCATCTATGTCGAAGTTTGCCGGTTCAATCCGACTTTCGAGGCCGTTATCCCTTATTCATCTCTGTTGCAATCCTACAATCGTATAATCATTCATACCATCAACCCTCATCTCATTTCTCAGCCACCCATTCAACCCTCACTCCATCCAGTCCTTTAATTCCTCACCGCCCTATAAATCTCCCTCAAATCCATCCCCTCAATCTCCCCTCCGCCACCTCCCCCACAACCCTCCCCGGACACCCTCCCACCACACTAAAACTAGGTATCACCATATTAGGCGGAACAACCGTCCCCTCCAGAATCTTCACAAAATCTTTCACTATCACAAACTTTCCCACCACAACATTCGCACCAATATTAACATGATTCCCAAGCATCGCAGCTTCGATTATCGAGCCGGGTCCTACGAAAACATGGTCGCCGATTTTGAGGGGAAAGTACGAGAAAGTTCTGTTGTCCAAATCTCATTAGTAAAATTCACAAGATACCAAAATGCCAGAGAAACAAAGGGCAATGAGAAAAACAAAACAAACCCTCTGTAAATCTTCCCCGGCGGTCTCAACTCACACCCGCGACTGAAAAAACAATATCTCCCAATCGCAACCGCAACTGAGTTTCCCGCTTTCTCTCCTTGGGTACTAGGAGGTAATGTGCGTAATAAATCACCGCGGATGATGACTTCTGCTTGAATTACCGTTTTACCACCGAGGATAATGTTTGTTGTGCCGATTATTTGGGAACGACGGGAGACTTTGTTACCGGTGTCCTGGAGGGATTTAGTACTTGGATTGAGGATGAGATAGGAAGTCAAGGTTGAAGCGGGGGAGAGAACATGATAACAAGGTGAGAATAGCTTACGGTTTCAATATATTCGCCTTTGGGCGCTTTGCGGACATGGCTGTTACATGGTAGAAAAGTAGATGAGGTTTGAGGTTATCGCGTTCGGAGGTTGATATTGAGTCGACATGCAGAATTATTAAGGCGGTGAGACAAGTTATTGTTCAAGTGATTTGACATTTACCAATTTTTATACTTTTGGTTCACTATGGTAGAAATTGTTGCCGCTTGATATTGTTGTAAATTTCTACAAATCGTATCCATTTACTGGCCTCTGTTAAGGATGATTGTTCTGATGTTCCATAGGCCACAGTATTAAATATCCCTTTCCTTGAATCTTTCTCTGTTTTCCATGTACCCAATATACCTCACGTCTTCAACACCAATCATCGATACCATAGCACCGGTGAAACAGGTACATTGGTTAACCCATTCCATGCCCATCTATACAGTTCGTCCGGACTAATAATGATCAGCTTTTCTTCTCAAACTCCCTCAAGTTACTAACAATGGCGAAGCGTTCGGTGCATCAGACGAACTATCTTCAATCCCCGTATCTCTCTCAAATACTCCATCACCTGTTATCTTCCATCCTCCTCCAGCCCGCTTCACGAACTCTACTGCCATATGCCAAGCATCTGTATCTGCAGCATCTCCTGACTCGAAAGTCTTGAGATATCTGTAATTTGCTTCAGGTGGATTGTTGAACATTTCTCGCATTAATTGAGCATAACAATTATTTCTCTCCATCCATAGATCCTCCACATCAATCTTCTTCATTAGTTCTTCGTCTTCTAAAGCATCATTTCGTGGTACCAGTTGACAATAAAAATGATCCAGTCTTGGCAATCCTTGGGCGAGACATTCGAATTGAGCTGTTATTGGAAATATAGCAATGTATCTCATGGCACGAATGCCAGGATTGATCAAGGGCAAAGTACCTGATTGAGTTCCGACAAGACTTCTTAATATCTATTGAAAGTTAGATGAATACCTCCACTTTATATTGGTGATCTACTTACAGATGGAGTCTCTAATTCCCACCACAAATCTGTTTTGAAGGCCTTTAAATTCGATCCTTCATTTAAGAGTAAGGATGTCCAAGATCTTATTTGAAAGAATTCCGAGGACTTGGCAGAAACACGACCTGCAGGACAAATATAGTGCAAGCGATCGTCAAAATTGTAGTCTGGGTTTTGTAATGTCCCAGAAACTGAAGGGCCAGATCTGGTGGGACCATTTTCTTCAGGCAAAACCTCAATCTCCGTGAGGACTAATTCTTTGGATTCGGGTCTTTGCAATCGCAAATAGTGACATTCAATGTCAAAAACCCAAGAATCCACGTCATTAATGGTAGATGAGGTCAATGAAGCAAGAGCCTCAACAGGCGCAGCAATCAAAACCGTCGACGGATCAATCGTGTTAAAGAGTCGTTTCCAAAACCCATCAAATTCACACAATCGAGGTCGGCCATCATGACAATTTGATATCGTTTTCTCCCGAACTACCAAGGTGAAGCTTGACACAATATCCGCAAAAGATCCTTTACGAATGAATTGACGAAAGGGTCCTGTCAAATCATTGAGAATTGGTCTACAATCATCTTCTGAATATTTCAAGATATATCGTGTGTGTTTGAATAGTAAACGTAAGGTAGCTTGTCTCCATCGTTTCGAAATTAGAGAACAATTCTTGAGGTCTTGGATCTCGGAGCTTGTAACTTCCAAGGTTGGCTCATCATGAAGTGTCGTATGGGAATACGATGGAGGTTCTATATCCAAATGACTGAAGATATTGACTAGAAGTTCATTGGGAAGATCTTCAATGGTGGGACCTTGCTTCGTAACGGCTCCAGGAATTGTATGTGGAGTAACGTGGGATATCAGGGTATCTCCTGATTGATTCGTCTGAGGCTGAATTGACGGTACTTCTGTAGATTTGTTGCCAATGGTAAGATCCTCGAGACCATTTGGGTTTGAAGGAGGAAGGCCAGAAGTCATTTTCGTGGATGTTAGAGGTTGAAAGGATGAAGACTCAAGATGGTTATTGAATTGAACAGGTTGTTTCCAATAGTTCGGTCAATTGAATTGTGGATTTGAATAATGGAGCAAATCGCTACCTACCTAGGTACATACCCAAAAAGGAAATATATGTCAGCAACGGCTTTCGGATCTCTCCTGGACCTCCGATAAGGAAACGGATGCCGTTCACGGAATACAACCTCTCATACGTCGTATCTCTCCAAGGTATTATCTAAATGTATCGTAAGCTTGTAATCGAATATGCAGGTAATTGATGGATACCAGGTAGGTAGATTCACTTAACCGGTACTTTCAAAGAACAGGGGGATTGCTTACAGATATATGACATATATCGTTCGCCACCAATGAGGGGGGATGGGGGTTCGTTCCCGTGTGTGCCAGCTACTAAGAAGGAGAGACTTATTACATGTATTGATGGTTTCTGGAATTCAATTTACATTCCTATAAGAACAATTAGAAGAAGTCTATCTTAATAACTTATTTGAAATCATCTAATATCTACAAAACCATTGCTAACCCAACTCCGAGTTACAATTGCAATTTCTGCAAGATGGCTTGTTTATATGTCATGGAAAGAAGTTGACTGCAAGTCTATCCGATCCTGACCTGCATGGCTAGCCCTTACTAAGGTATCACCAAGCGCGGAACTAAACTACTTTATATCGAGATCAACAGTTAGATCTCCAATTGTTGCGGGGATGATTGAAAGTTGGGGAGGGGCAGTTAGACAAGTCGTCGCGGCATTCTATGGAAGCTGCTTGAGTGAGGCTCCAACAGCTGGCCTGGTATGAGTATATAAATACAGCTCAATTACCTCACATTCATTACTATACAAATACGATTCCCATTCTCACTTATATCCTAAGCTACAACATTTACTTACCTCAATCATGTCTTCCGAAAAGCTTCATCGCAATCCTCCTTTCCGAGCAGAACATCTCGGATCTCTACTACGTCCAGAACAACTCTTATCTATCAAACATGCTCTCGACAAGGGAAAAAGTAATGTTACCAGAGAAGATTTGACAAAATTAGAAGATGTATCTATCAATGAAATCGTTCAAGCACAGCTAGACTTGGGCTTTCACGCTGTAACAGATGGAGAATATCGTCGTCACATGTTCTGGTATGTGACTACATATCATTCCACCCCGCCTTCATTTCTCCCCCTTCCTTTCCCCTCACTCTTCAATACAATGCAACATTCCCAACCCCCACACTGACCTTCAACACAAGGGGTACCTTCTTCCCCGGACTCGAAGGCTTCGAAGAAATTCAAAACCCCCCTCTCGAATCCTTCCGCCGCTACGTCCCCGACATCGATGCCTTCCTCGAAGAAGGTCACAAACCCGGTGAATCCGTCTACTGCACCGGTAAAATAAAACACATCGGAAGCACCTACCTCTCCCAATGGAACTACCTCAAAAATCTCCTCCCCGCCGACAAAATCGCAGAAGCAAAAATCACCCTCGCAGCTCCAAACTGGTATCATCTCCGCTACAAAACCGGACACGCATACCCCCCCGAAATCTACCCCTCTGACACCGAATACTTCGCCGACATCGCCACCGCCTACCGCGAAGAACTCCGCATCCTCTACTCCGCCGGCCTGCGCAACATCCAAATCGACGACCCCAATCTCGCCTACTTCTGCTCCGAGAAAATGCTCGCGGGATTCAAACAAGACGGCGAAGACTCAGACGCCCTCTTCGATTCCTACATCCAACTCTACAACGATTGTTTGCGTGATCGCCCTCAAGATATGCACGTGGGCATTCATCTCTGTCGAGGCAATTTCGTAAATGGGAGACATTTCTCCGAAGGCGGATACGATATTATCGCGACCAAACTATTCCAAGATCTAAACGTCAACACCTACTACCTCGAATACGACACCGCGCGCGCAGGAGGTTTCGAACCGCTCGCTCACCTCCCCAAGAATAAAAATGTCATATTGGGATTAATCACGAGCAAATTTCCCAAGATGGAGTCTCTGGAGGATTTGAAAGAGCGGGTCTTCAAAGCGGCTGATAAGATCGCGGAAGGGAATCAAGAGACGAGGGAAGATGCGTTGAGGAGGATAGGTGTAAGTCCCCAGTGTGGATTTGCGAGTCATTCGGATGGGAATAACATGGAGAGGGGCGATATGATGGAGAAATTGAGGTTGGTGAGGAGATTGGCCGGGGAGATTTGGCCGGGGGAACCATGAGCAGGGTTGAATGCTATGGAGAAGTACCTATGTAAGGTGGAATGGGGTGATGGGATTGGATTGGATTGGATGTATAGATTGACAGGTGTATATATGATGTGCAATTTTGGCTCTTGGGACGAGATGGAAATGTGTGTCTTTAAGAACCCTTCATTAAGACTAAACGACTGACTACATCATCTAATACCCCATTCACCACACACAATCCATCGGTGAATTGATCAAGTTATTTTGATGTGCGATTTGTGCTGTATTACTTTTCTTCTTTTCTCAGCGTCAATAAGGAAGAGCCAGAAGAGATTGCTTTCCCTTTCCCCTTTCCCATTGCCCCCGCCCCCAGCAAGTCGCTTCAAAATATTCAAAGAGCGAGACACCTTTCAATTTCGAAGATACACATACACATACACAACAAATTTCACATTTCAAGTGCAAGTTGCGGAAAGTAAGTTGACCAGAAACAAAACCCCATCAATTCTCCATTGAAAGGTACGATATCATGTCCAGAAACGCCTGCGCCATCTAGATGCAAACTCTAAGTTGCCATACGATTGGCCTATACCTATACGCAATTCCCAATACCTGGGTTACGTACCCAAAAACAATCCTATAACCCAAATGGATCTATCCAATCCAAATGTAATGCAATCCTATCCTATATAAAGAAGCCACCCGCCTTATAAACCACCAGTCCGCTGAAGGACGTCTGTCTAATCATCGAATTTATCACTATCCGAATCATTCTCACTCAAATCCACTTCTCTCTTTCTCCTCTCCTCCTGCATTTCTCTAAATGTACTATAACTGAGTAACAAGAATGCCACAATAATCAACAATCCCCCCAAAATAGCTGCCGGACTCAATGGTACCCCCGTGAATGCCCAATCCACAATCGCGACGAGGAAAATTGTCAATAGTGCAGCGACACTACTTAGAACGGGACTTGTAAGACTAATCAAAACTAAGAAACTTCCAGAGAAAGTCGCATTTGCGAGGACGGAAATGGCAAGCATCCAAGCCGCTTCGCCGTGGGGAAGTTCAAAGGTTTCGAGTCCAGTGAGATGAAGGATTGGGAGAGGAATCCAGAGGACGAGAAGAGTGAATGAACCGATTAGTGAGCCGAATGTATTTGCGAATATCATGCCGCGCCCGGGACTTGTTCCTTCAGGGGGGCAAGCCAATTTCTTATACAAAACTTCGTAGAAACCATATAAAACACTGCCAACACCAATAACAAGGTTGCCCAAAACTCTATTTGATGCCTCGTCATCTTCATCGCCAGGCTTTCCACCTACTGAGCCTCCAGACTTTCCTCCATGTTTCGTGGGCGTAGAATCTCCATATGCCACGATCAAAACTCCTACAATCGCAACCATAACCGCGAAAGATTTATCCCATCTAAGAGGTTCTTTCAAAAGGGGAACGCTGAATGCATATGCGAAGAAAGCCGAACAATTATATATAGCCGTGAGATCAGATGGCGATGTTAAATTCACTGCCACGTACCATGATCCACCAGCAACTGTGAGAGCGCATGTAACGAATGCGGTCATTCTGAGCATATACGGAATTGGGGATCGTTGGCCTCGCGGAACGTCTAGTTGTCCTGACTCTACCATTTGGGCGGTTGTTCGAATGAGATATACGTGTCTTCTCCAGAATGTCTTCCATGGCATTTTCCATTTTTGTAATCGCAATATTAAAAGTTGAGTTGGCCATAATAATGACCATGATCCGTGAGTAAAGTATCTAGAGTATCCATTTAGTTTTGTTTAAAATTTTGTGAAATAGGCGCCACTACTTACAACATGCAATATGCTTTGTTCCACCCTAATTGATGTTGAATATACACTGCCGTTTCGGTTTGTATAACGAAACTAATCAAACTCAAGCCCAAAAAGAAGGCTGCATATGTATATTTCTTTCTCGTATCTAATTTTGCTTGAGTATCCGGACTACGACTTCGCATAGTAGATCGTCTCGAAAATGCAGGACGTTCGGGTGGATCTTGAGAAGCATTGTATCCTAACCTCCCCCTCTCGGGATCATCATTTTTGTGTAATAATGGTTGATGTGAACGGCCATCTGTAGGACGATGTAGCGGAGGTCTTCGTCCTTCCATATCGTCGTCGGATTCTAAATCGGAACCTGCTTCTTCGTCGGTCAATGGACTGATTGGTGACACTTCTCTTTCTCGTGTTTGATGTGCGAAGTCGTGAGTCCGAACGGTAGGACTGCGAGAGGAAACCCTTGAAGAATTTCCAGATATGGGATTCGAGGTCTTCCACGAGTTGTTTTGTAATCCGGTTACTGGATTTAATTCATGTGTACCGGAGGATGTCTGGTGATTCCTATAAGACATACATGCGATTCAGGTGGGTGAAATGATAAGTTTGAGTGTAGAGGAGGGTGGTTTGATATCGGACATAACTCAATTAAGATATGAAATGGACAATCTCGATCAGGACTGACAGGGTGGATTTCGTGAGTGGGTTTGGCTTCGAATTTTGACGTGAATTAATTTTTTTATTGGCGATTTTTAACGACAGTACCTGTACCGTAGGTGAAGGAGATAATAAAATGGGATTGATTGCATAAAGTTGGCTGTAACAGTAAAAGGAGAATTTTGAAGACCAATCAATGCGAACTTGTTGTCGTCATTCTTTAGCAAATGGATCTGGATCTGGATATGGGGTTGGATATGGATATGGATATGTAAAGCGTAAAGCGTGAGAATCGAGTATCAAAGTGGATAGGCACGTGATAGGTAGATAATATGAAGCAGAGAGTGAGGGAGACCCTGGAGAACCTTGGAAGGACCCTGAAGGTTGGTGGTTGGCTGAATCAAAAAGAATTATCAGATATCAGATAATGTCTCGCCCCACGCGAAACGAATCAAACGACCTGGATTTAATCAATTTGATTCCGTCTGCTGGCTCATGATGTGGTGCAGGTTACCAAAGAGATCTCAAATCTTGGATATATAAATAGGTAGTGGTGGGTTGGTGGTTGGATGGCTAAAAAGGTAGGCTGCTGGTTGAGAGGTGGATTGAGGTAGGTAGGTGACAATGGTACCGTTGTACAGAGGATGATTCAGAGGATGATCAGAGAATGATCAAAAGAAGAAGTGTGGTGACTCGAATTCAATTTGGATTAGATATTCATAGGTGATCGTTGCTTGGATGTCTCAGGAATTTGGACTATTTTCTTTTTGATACTCATACCTCTTCTTCTCCGACTACCACTAATACTACCACGACCAAATAACTGCTTATATCAAACTTTCATTGCCTTCATTCTAGAATAATAAGAAGCTTGTACGGGAAAGGCCATCTAGCCTTCAGCCTTTAACCATGGCATGGCACTCGAGGAGAAAGGAGAAAGGGCAACGCATAACCGGCGACCTTATCATCAAAGAAACTTTCCGAGTTCATCCAAGATTATCGGCATGATATTGCATGCATACAACTCGTCTCTTGCATACCTGAAATTCAACCAGCATCTCTCAACCTCGGCTTTCAATGAATCTGAATACCCTCCAGATGTATTTCAAATATATCTCAAATGGTATCACCGATGTATTACTTGGTACGTCGGTGTTTGTCGTGATGGTGAAGGTGGGGTAAGTGATGCGGGGTTGAACAAAATGGCGTCACTACATTCAACCTTCTTTACTACCGCTATCTACCGGTACTCTGTACACGAATGTGAATGTTCATCTTCATGCAGTATCACACAGTATCATACCGTATTCATACCCAATATCTAATCCTACATTCAAAACTTCACTTTGACTCTTGAAGCGCAAGAATACTATAACACTCACTCGTCAAGCAAGAACCATTCTCCCTTTTCATTCCACTTCCTCAAAATGCCTCTCATAGCTACTAACCCCAAACCTCGAATAATTCTTGGTCTTATGAACTTTGGTCCAGATCCATCCACCGGCGCACGCATAACCTCATTAGATGAATACAACACCTTCCTCGATCATTTTCAAGGCGCTGGATACAATGAAGTCGATACCGCACGTACATACGTTGGAGGGAAACAAGAAGCTTTCACACGCGAAGCAAAATGGCAAGAAAGGGGCTTAACACTGGCCACAAAAGTCTATCCAACGGAAGCGGGATTGCATACAGAAGCAGAAATAACCAACAGATTTGAGACGAGTTTGAAAGAGTTGGGGACGGACTGTGTGGACATATTCTATTTGCACGCTGCTGTTGGTTCATCTCAGTCATTTGAAATATGAAGGAGTGCTGATAGTGATGTGTAGGATCGTGCAACGCCCTTTACAGAGACATTGGCGGCTCTCGACAAACTCCATAAACAAGGCAAATTTGTCAACCTAGGACTTTCAAACTTCACAGCCTTCGAAGTCTCTGAAATAGTCATGCATTGCAAATACAACAATTGGGTGCGGCCAACAGTATACCAAGGAATGTACAACGCCATTACCCGTTCCCTAGCTTCTGAACTCATTCCATGCTGTAAGCGCTACGGTATTTCCGTCGTCATTTACAACCCCATCGCAGGTGGTCTCTTTTCAGGAGCTTACAAGTCGTCAGAAATTCCAACCAGTGGACGTTATAGCGATTCCGTGGGAAAGTTGGGCGAAATGTACAGAAAACGGTATTGGAAGGAATCGAACTTCGCCGCATTGAAACTGATCGAACCAGTTGTTCAAAAACACAACTTGACAATGGTGGAGACTGCATTCCGATGGTGTATACATCATAGTGCACTGAATGTTTTGGATGGGGACGATGGAATTATCATGGGGGCGAGCAGTATTGAACAATTAGATTCAAATCTCAAAGATTGTGAGAAGGGACCATTGCCCGAAGAAGTAGTGAAAGTTTTGGATGAGGCTTGGGAGATTTGTAAAGCAGATACACCAAATTATTGGCATTTGGATTTGAAGTATGATTATGATACTGGGAAGGCACTATTTGGCGTATAGGCATAAAGTAGATTTACATTTAGACTAGCGCCGAGATATACGGTTGCTTTCGTAGATGACAAGACAAGAGGCAAAGAATCACTTCAAGTTCATATCCGTAATGCTATTTAGTATTGAGAAGCCATTAAAGGTTGCAGTCTTGTGATTCATTCTATGCTGATCGATATTATAGTTTAGACTGTACAAAATATCGGGTCCATTTACAAGAACAAAACCATAAACCAAGCTCTATTAATTTTTGAAATTCTATGCTACTCAACATCAGTCTTGTCCTCATCCCATCCATAGCTTGTATCAGATTCCCTTTATGATCGTGAAGACTCCTTAAACAGCGTCGGCTGTTCCTACATTCGGTTAGATTTCGGTCCAGAATCAACGCGCTTCGCGTCATCCTGAACATCGTCGCGTCTTCCCACAATCAATTTCTCAGACTACTACAATTTCTCAACCTCGCCCTGTGCATCTATATCAAGAATCGGGATCAATTGCCCTGAATTTATCTAGTGCAGATATTTGCAACATAATTGTGATTGCTCTCTCTATTTACACATTTGCTTAGTGCAGGTATTGAACAATCTCAACATCCACTTGCTATTCGCACACTCGCAAACCCCTCCATTTGACAGGGACCCATTTAAGGTGACAATATGGTCAATACTGGAGCCAAATCTGGACCAGGGATTTACTCTGCTACTTACAGCAATGTAGTATACCTGCTCGGATGCGCCTAGACTTTGTCTGCTTTTTCCTTATCGCTGACTTGATTAGGTTCCGGTGTATGAGTACTTGTTCGGAGAGGCTCTCAAAGAACATGGTAATTGAAATGCCACTTCCAGTCTTAAACTTGACGTCACTGACACTTACACAGTTATGCGAAGACGACAAGATGATTGGATCAATGCGACACACATATTAAAAGCTGCTGGATTCGATAAACCTGCCAGAACAAGAATTCTTGAAAGAGAGGTTCAGAAGGAAGAACATGAGAAGATTCAAGGTGGATATGGAAAATATCAAGGTTGGCATGCACCAGAAATTTAAGAGTTTGGCAAGACTGAAACCAATTAGGTACTTGGGTTCCTCTTGAGAAAGGTCAATCTTTGGCACAAAGGAACAATATATATGAAAAACTCCGGGAGATCTTCGAATATACACCTGGTGAATTTAGTCCACCTCCAGCGCCAAAACATGCCACGAATAAGCCAAAGGTCAAGAAACCTGCAGTACCGAAATGGGGAGCCAGTGAGTTTCCCGGTCTAAATTTTGGCATATTGTACTAACAGCACAGAACCGGTACCTATTCAACAAGCAGTGGTCGCCCGCCAAGTCGAAGAGAATTACGATACCATTAGCACTCAATTAAATGATGATGAAAGTGTGCCAGATGATGTTACAGTTGCTTCCGCTTCATATATGGCAGAAGATGATCGATTCGATATGTCTCAACCACCTACTGGGCATCGAAAGCGCAAAAGAGGTGAAAGAGATGATTTTCATGAAGAAGACCCTGTGGACGTTCGAGCACAAGCTCATCTTATGTGGGCTGATGAACTCTTGGATTATTTCATGGCACCTCCCACCGATGCGAACTCGACAGATAGAAGACCCGAACCACCAATAAATTTCGAGCCTAACTTCATTATCGACACAGATGGTCATACGGGTTTACATTGGGCCGCATCAATAGGTGATGTGGATATATTAAAACAACTGAAGAGATTCGGTGCGAATACAACTTGTCGGAACAGTCGTCAAGAAACTCCACTCATAAGATCAGTTCTTTTCACAAATTCTTATGACAAGCAGAATTTTCCTCTGATTGTTAAAGAATTGATCGGTACTGCCAATGAAGTAGATTCATGTGGAGCTACAGTTCTTCATCATGCAGCAGCGACCACCAACATGAAGCAAAAGTTCAAATGCGCTCAATATTATCTGGATGTTCTTTTAGAAAAATTTATTGAAATCTATCATCCAGATGAGGTTCAAAGATTACTAGATGCTCGAGATATCAATGGAAACACAGCAATCCATATCGCGGCCAAAAATAAAGCCCGCAAATGTGTACGAGCTTTAATGGGTCGTGGTGCTTCAACAGATATTCTAAATGATATGGGCGAGACGGCCGAAGAAATAATTCAAGACTTGAACACCTCCCGTAGATCGGAAAGACACAACAAGCCGCTTCTTCTTCGCCTTTTGCACCAGACTCGGCACGTCATATTTCTCACTATGATGATCTTGAACAGGAAAATCCTCGAGGGGTTGCTCACATTTCAGAAGCAGCAATGACTCTGAAAAATAACGCGGAACCGATTCTACTAGAGAGGTTACATGCATTAGCTTGTAGCTTTGATGAGGAATTGGCAGAAAAAGAAAATGCAGAGGCAGATAGCAAGAGGATTTTAGAAGGGGTGAAGATGGAATTAGCAGGGGTCAGAGAGCAAGCTAGGCAATTGGCGGAAGAAGAGGAGGGTGAAGAAAATTCCATTGCTGCAAAAGCGCATCTAGTCGGCTTACAAGAAAGAGTTCAGAGTCTAGTAGAGCGACAACAACAACTTCTCCTTCTTTCCCGCACGCAACATGAAGGATCAAAAATAAATGGTCATGGAGGAGGTCAAGTCAATGGAAATGCAGATTTAGAGGAAGGGGAAAATGAGAGGATCATGGTAGCTCAGCAGCTACAAGAGGAAATTGAGAGGAGAAGGGCGTTAGTAGGGGAATATATTGGAGCGCTTGGAGTTGCAGGTGGTGGAGATGAGGGAGAACTTTATAAGAGGGTTATTGTTAGGGATTTGGGAGTGGATGAGGAGAAGGTGGACTTAGTGATGAGGGGTTGGATGCGCTGATTGCCAATCTAGAGGAAGAAAGGGGCGGAGTGGGGTTGGAGAGAGAGATGGGGGATGAATTGTATGGGTTGAGTTTAGAGATGAATCTTCTATCCTTTCTTCGGGAAATCTTTTGGTTAATCATAGGCGCTTGGACTGGGCGGGAAAAGGTCGAATGAAGTGGAGTGCTCAGGGATCACTTCTATTGAAATTTCCGGCATTGCGATGGTTGAATGAATGGCTAGCCGGTTGAAGGTGTTATATGGCGATTCTTTACTGCCCGCTTCTTGGGGTAATTGTATTCATAGCTGCATAGGAGCGTGTATACATGAGATAAGACAATACTATTATCAGGTTTTCGTTTAGAATGATAAGGATTGAGACCACAACTACTATGGCGTGATACTCGTTGATGAAGGTAGACGAGGGGATGTAAATTTGAGGCATCGCCACGTCGAAGAGATTGCGTGATAGACGAGGTTGTAGCCGCAAAATAGATTCAACATTTTTTGGGTCAAGAGCAGATTGATGGGAGCAGAAGTTTTTAATACGTCGGACATGGTGAAGAGCATGTCATACCTAGGTACCGAAGGAAAGAAACAAGGGGGCAGGGCTGGTGATATGTAGTGATAGTGAATAAGCGAACTCCTTGGATGTATGTAATCCCATGACGTCGAATGAGCAAATTCATAGCTAGAGTTGCGAGTCATTTTCGTTAGTAGTGGTGAGACTGAGATGATAGCAAGTAGATTATGGATGAGGGTATTTTTTGTTGTAATTAATTCTCAATATGGTTAGGTGGTTCTATTCGAAAAGGTTTGTTCTGTGTAGATAGATATCTGTTGGTATTTATTGAGATGGGTCGGGATGGGATGGGATAAGATGGGATAGGATGAATGTGTATTAACAACTGTGTTGGGATTGCTTGAGATGTATGTGAGATGTTAGTATTGTGTTGATTTGATTTGTGTGAGTATATGATAGTGGGTTTTCTCACGACGGCAGCGAGTGCTGGAATGAAAGGGCAGTCATAAATTCTGATGACAGTGAGCAATATGTCTCGAAAATCAATTGAGCGCTTCTACTTTCACATCTTGACATTGACAGTGGGGTGGTTCGGATAGTATTATTGATAGAAATTAAAAACTTTCTGTAATTTAGTTCTATATCACTCCCGCCGCAAGCTAGTCCTTAGGGCCCAATGCTCTCGAAAGGTATACAATTGAGAAGTGAAAAAAAAATATGGGGTGAGGGATGGGATGTTTATAAAGACAAGGAATTGTAAAGTGGATCATATGTTTCGATGGACCCTGAAGTGAATTCCTCACTGTGGTATATAGTATCTTCTATAAAAGATTCAGATTCAGGTTGGTTTGACTTCATGATAGTGGGCTGACATCTCACTCATCATTATACATGGAAAGACCAAGAGCTGGGTTTTCATATGTGCGAAGTACGTGAATGAAATAAACCTATAGAGTTTTGCTCGTGTGATTGTTTCGTGGGATCAAGGAATGGAAGGGAGAAAGATATACAGGCGAGAGTCAAGATGGGTAGTGTGCATAGGTTATCGAAAGTGATAACAGAACACAATAGGAGACTACTGACAATAGAAATTGAATATGTAATTTTCACCGAAAGAAGGTCCAGTCCATTCACTTGGACGGCTTCAGAGAATGAAAGTTACAGCAGGTGATTAAAGGCGAGAGTCCTTGTGTCCTGGATCAACACATGTAGTTGTGGTTTGAAGAGAAAAGGAACGGGAGCTGAATGTAGTTTATATAGAGGTTTATTTTGCTCGCCGTTGTAATTGATAAGATACTAGTTAGGCGATCCGAACTCTTGGCTCACGATTGAGCTCACGATCGAGGAGAGCCAATGACAACCGATAACTAGATATCTCGAACTCTAGACCCATCTACCCATTTATATCTTTCGACTTCATTTATTCAACTCCATTTTCCAGTGATCTTTTCCATGCCAAATCTTTTACAAATAAGGCTTCTCTCCCAAACTACAAACTCTATCGCCTGCTCTCGCCTCCGCGCTAAATTATCAACGTTAGTTTTCATTTATTAATACCGATCTCCATCAAAGCAATGATCCTCGATCAACTCAATCCCTCTCATTTCCCAAGCCACTATGCCAAAGAAAAGAGGAACTTACTAATCATAAGTAGCACAATGCCAATTACTCCTGTTATCCCAAATCGCTACATCATTCTTACTCCACTTCCATCTGACTTGCGCATCGTGGTTCAAGGGTACCAAATTCTTTAACCATGGAAGTAAAAGATCCGATTCGTCTTTTGTGAGAGGATGGAGACGTCGTGTGAAGCCTTGGTTTATGAAAAGAGATTTCTTGCCAGTTACGGCTGTTGTATGTTAGTTGTTGAACTACGCATGATGTTTCCAGTGTATGTGGAAGAGAATGGGAGAAAACAAGTAAGGATAGAGGCAGCTTACGGTTTGTCCTAACCACCGGATGAACAGCACTCAACTCTTTTCCAATATTCAATGGACTTCCTCTCATATCTTCTCTGATATCCTGTCCGAGTCTCCTTGCTTCATCATGGAAAAAGCTCGCATCATGAGTCGCTGTTAGTCCTTCCAACATTTCCTTCATCTTCGGACTCAGTCTTTCATAAATCTCGTTTCCAGATGCCCATAAAGTATCACCACCTGTTTCAGGCAGGGTATGGATTTTCAACATGGCATAATCGGAAGGGACTCGTTCAAATGTGATATCGGCATGCCAGCCAGTACTAGCAAATCGAGATACGTCGGACAGTTGGTGAGTTAATCCACCGCCTTTGGCTTGCTTTGTGGAAGAGATTACGGACACTTGATCGCCCAGTTCGGAGGATTGTTCGGTGAGGGGGTGGATGTGAAGTGTAGAGGATTCAGGCTGAGGTAAAATGTTAGATGTTTGGAAAAACGCACTCGATGAAGACGAGGAAGAAGATGTTTGTTTTCTTAATAATTTGGGAGGGGAAGAATAACGTACAGATCCAGCTGCTTTGGAAATACGTTCGATAACAGCTTTCATTTGCTCAGGATTAATGTCTTGATTTCTGAAGAAAACTACACCACGATCGGAGACTATCACATTGTCATCAATACCAATATCCCTACATCACGGAAACATACTAAACCTACTTGTCAACGCCAAATCCTTGAACAATTCTTCGGAGGTACTCGGCGAGAGGAACTCTTTCAGTTGAACCTTTTCGTCAAAGACTCTTCCAATTACCGGTGTCAAGTCCGAGTGCTCAAATTGATCCAATACACCATTGTTCACTAATGGCTTGGTACATCTTGTACGAGCTATTTCATCTTCATTTTCCAGAACTGGTTTCGCGGTAACATTGATGAAGTCGGCGGAAGGCATGATAGCTACTATTTTGTTCACTCTGTGTGAACGTTTCGAAGATCTAAAAATGAAAACAAAAGTATATACACTGAATTTATATGAATGAGAATGAAAAAAGAAAGAAGAAGAAAGCAAAATTCCAAGCTCCTAATATAATTATCATATTTATTATCTTCGTATCATTAAAATTCCCGAAGTACGGAATAATTCAAATGCCATCACATCATAGCATCTCGTTGGTCAGAACCCCGCAATGTGTACACACCCTGGTCAGAATCCAATTGCGTGATATGTCACCATTCGAATTTAACCAAAAAATGCGAAGAAATCGCGGATCTATCATTTGTATCTGGAAATTCCTTCCGTTATGAAATGAAATTTTGCTGACTGAAAGTCACCGCGGTGATAACGTCCCAGGATAAGAATGGGGCATGGTCCTTTGAGTGCCATGGGGATGGACTTGTTTAAATACTTAAGATAGGTACCGGATACTTCTACCTATTGGATTATTTTCGGCTCGATTGAACTCTTTCTTCAAGTCAACATCGACAATTGTAGCACTTGCTCTGCTTGATTTGCTTTCAATTGACAATATGGACGAGAGTAAAGACACATCGAGGAAGGTGGTTTCAGACACTGGATCACAAATATCTGTGACCCATGTCGGCCGTGAGGCATTGGCTGATGCACTTCCACCTCATGAATTATATGAAGGAGCTCATCGATATGATCCAGCTGCTACATGGACGGAAGCAGAGGAAAGAAAAGTGGTTCGAAAGACTGATATTTATCTTTTGGTGTGGATTTGCGTCATGGTAAGGATTTTCCTCTCTTGATTGTTACCCTGATTATTGATCTTCGATTCAGTTCTTCGGATTGCAACTTGATAGAGGAAATTTATCCAATGCTACAGCGGACGGCATTCTGAACGATTTGAAGCTTACTACCGATGACTACAACAATGTAAGTTTCTTTCTCTCCCCTAGTTTCAATGTATTGGTATAAGTACTTACAACTTGTTAGGGGAACACGATTCAATTGATGTGTTTTATGACAGCAGAATTCCCGGTCCAGTTCTTGACCAAGCGTTATGGATTTAAACATATTCTCCCGATCATGATGATGCTTTGGGGTACCGTCTGTAAGTTAAATAAACCTGAAGGCCTCATGAGTCGAGAAAATAACATAACTGACACTACCACATTAGCCTGGACTCAATCTTGGATGCACGATCGTACATCTTTCTACATTACTCGTGCCCTCATTGGACTTTGTGAAGGTGGTTTCATTCCTGGTACTATTCTCTTCGCAACATATTTCTACACGTCAAAGGAACTATCCGTTCGTCTCGCTTGTTTTTGGTCCACACTCAACATCGCAAGAGTAATCTCGGCTTTACTTGCTGCTGGTATCCTCACAATGAGAGGAGTGGGTGGTAGACCAGGATGGTTCTATTTGTTCCTAATCGAGGGACTCTTTACTTTTTTGATCGGTTTTATCGTAAGTCATGCCTGGTTCTCATTAGTCTCTTGGACCGGACTAAAAAAAACTAGAGTTTCTTTTACCTACCTCAATCGCCAACGCAGACTTCCAGTGTTTTATGCCGCAAGTCATGGTATACAGAGCGGGAGGAAGTAATTATGGTGAATGTAAGTTTTGAATTCCAAAAAATTACTTCGATGCTGACCAAATAGCGAATTCTTCGCGACGATCCAGCAAAAGGACTTACAGCATTGAGAGAACCGGCCACATTCAAAGATATCCGCGAGGCATGGAGTGACTCTTCCATGTGGGGTCTTTACTTCATCGGCTTGGTAGCATACATTCCTGCGACACCTGTTCAATCGTATATTACACTCACATTGAAGCGCCTGGGATATACTACCTTCAATTCGAACATGCTGACTATTCCATCTGCTGCCATACAAATCGTCACTATGCTTTTACTTGCATACAGTAGTGATTTCTTTGATGAACGTACGTTTCATTGTATTTTCGGCGAATTTTGGATATTGCCATTACTTACGGCGCTCTTGACAATCCCTGATGGCGGAAGGGAGTGGGGTAGATGGTCTTTGGTGACATTGATCTCTGGATGTAAGTGCTTGAAAACAATTGCCATGTCCCCACCAACTAACTTCAAACCAGATCCCTATTTCCATCCAATCGTCTCCGCCTGGATTTCAGAAAATACATTCGACGTCAAGAAGCGCGCTATTACAGCAGCGACATACAACGTGATTGTCCAAATTGGATCCTTAATCGGCTCCCAAATCTATCGTAAATATGATGCACCATACTACAAGCAAGGAAATAAGGTTCTTATTTCCATCTGTGCATTGTCGCTTGTAACATTTGTGGCGCAAAGACAATACTTGATTGTATTGAATAAAAGAAAGGAAAGGGTTTGGGATCAAATGACCCTTGAAGAGAAGGCAGAATATCAAAATGATAGTGTAGCGAGAGAGAAGGATGGTAACAAGAGACTTGACTTTAGATTCAAGTATTGATGTCGGGATTGGTAAAGAGAACGGTCAGATTGAGGGAGAAGAATCGAAAGTGGTATAATGAAGTAGTAGTGTAATAAATTATGTCTCCAAGCACCGCAAATGATGTGAACAAAAATTGAGGTATACGAAAGTCAGAAAGTAAATATGTGAATGGTTGAAAATATAGCTGGCATATGGGACTCTGATGACGGTGAGTGTACATGCCAATGTATGCATGTGTGTGCAAAAAGCTGGAAATGATTTGATGAAGATTGATGAACTTTCTTGGAAACCACAGGAGTTAGACCAAGGCGTTTTGGTTGACCAGGAACGTACAATTATAGACCTGGCTTCCATTGGCAAGGTTTCCAAGACTGGCTTGTCCAACTTTGTAAGGCAGAACAAAAAGTATCCTTCTCCCATCTTTCATTGAAGCCAAGATGTGACCCTTAATGGATCAAGAAACCAGGCCTATGCCCAGAAAGATTGAGATGGTTCATAGTGTAATAGGATGGAGATAAATATAGGTTGGCTAAATTCCTACTACAAGGCTGATACATCAATCAATGCAGCACCTACAAAATGGTGAAACTTGAATCGCACATTGGGAGTAAGATCATGTTGCTGCGAAGCAGCCCACGATATATGCTGGTACCAACAGCCCTAAACCAGCCGCGTTTCCAAGCTTGTACTTTCATGCGTTACTAGCGCACCAGATAGGAGTTGGAGTGCTCCCATCAGATTTTGAACTATTCAGGAAAGTATCTTGTTAATATGATGGGAAGTTTTATACTTTGGTCGTAATCTAGCCCCGAATGCGCAATTAGGGTTGAGAGTGTCTGCGTCAAAAAAAGCAAGGAAAGTCGTAACGATCAACTCGGAATTCTTGAGGCCTATTCGGTATGAAGAGCGCGCACAAGCTTCTAGAACATAAGTCCAGCCGAGTTTCTGACGTCGAAACAATATTTGGGGGTACTGCTGTGGATATCTGTCTATAATGTCATGTTCTTCAAACATAAACTTGAAGCATGCGAGATGATAGATATAGCACCAAGCTATGACCACTCATTCAAACGACATGACGGTCCGATCTAGCTACCAACCTGAATACATAGCCAGTGAGAAGACTGCCCAGATAAGTGAGTAAAGTTGGGCAATTGTCGTCGAAAAAATGATACTTCCGTTGCTTCTCTTGATAAGATGTGAAGGCAGTTCGACCCGAAGTATAGAATCAAATTTAGACCATTCGATCCAAAGGACGAGACGTCAAACTGATTGTTCAACCGGGTATAAATATGATTCTGTTACAACAGAGAGAAATAGTTGTCCTTCTCTTTCGTCGTCGTCTTTGCAATTCCATCCGTAACTCTACGCCATGCCCATGCCCACACATGTAAATGCAATCAATGTAAGCTTTTCCAACAAATTTGAGCCAAAGGTTAAACGGACTCTGACTCTACCTGGTCGGAACCTAGGTAGGTACTTTGGATGTAATGTTCAAGTAGCCCTGGAGTCGTGTGTATTCCAAAAGCCCATATCCCCATGAAAACTCCATGTAAAAAGTTTATATGTGAACTCATAATAAGGTTAATTACGGCAGTTTATTTTACGGAGGATCCATGCATGGTAGGAAGTGTTCTGCCGAGACTAGGCACAAACCTTGCGAGCCTTGGAATTGATGGATACCTGGCACGTGCCTGGGTATTTCATAACTTTTCATAACTTCTCAATTAGATCCTGTTCTTTGCGCTTTAATTCTTATCACACCAATCATAGAGTAGGAGCAGCTCAAAGTCCCACTATTATCTGATTTTCTTCGAAAAGCGGTGTAGCATCTTCATCTGATTAAATCCAGATCAGGTAACTCTCAATTGGTCCTGGAGCCAATAAATGATGCACAATTAGGCACGCCCTCGTCACGATCCCTTAGCAAATATAGCTTGGCGATTAGATCCCCTTACACAATTATTTTGGCGGCAACCATTAAGAACCACAGAATCAATTGTCTCGGCCCTGTCCCATGTTGTGCGTGAACGCTACAGAAGAAACCATGACCATGATAAGCATAATGTATACCCCGAGTCTATTTGAGCGGCTAAAATGAGAATTCAATAAAGCACTGTCCATTCACACTCGAAGATTCGCCTTCGTTTCGTGGTATTTTCCCAATCACCAACGTCTCACCTCGCCTTATATTCAGAGGATTCTGGGTCGTTGCCAACAGCTAGGACAAGAAAATTCTTTTACTTACCTAGCTACACGTCGGGGGATACAGAAAATATCACAGGGATCTCTATCGCCTATCGCGAGAAGCTATCAAGTCTCGTGGGCAGAAATCTTCCCATAAGGGTAATTGAAGATAGAAACATGAGAAAAATAGCTGGCTTACACTCACTCGCAGATGGCATCTCCTACTGATACCAACATTGTCAACAGCAACAGTCTCGATGCAACAACTTCCCCTTCCACGGGGCTCTCTCCTATTCCTACAATTCCTACAACTCCTCTGCCAAACATTACACCTATCATGTCTTACGATAGCGTCGACACTGCATACAACGCCGATCCATATTCCCTCCTCAATTCTAAGAAAGAAGACATAAGTATTGCTGCACTTCGCACACAACATCCTGATCAAAAACGAACACGGAGGGTTAGAAAGATCAAGAATTTCTACCATAGACAAAATGCATTGATTGATGCATACCTAGCAAGCAATGATGAGGAAGCCGCAGAGGTTGAAGATGGAATTCAAAATGGTGGAAAGATCAAATTCGCTATCTATGCTAGTTCTACGGTCAACTTTTGTCTGTTCATCATACAAGTCTTCGCCGCTGTCTCAACTGGAAGTCTGGCACTTTTCGCCACTGCTGCAGATGCTTTCGTAAGTTTCCAGATTGGTTGTGTATTACGGATGAAGACTAATGTCACATACAGATGGACTTGGTTAGTTCTATCGTGATGTTGATTACTTCACGAATAGCCGCCAAACCTAACATCACAAAATTTCCAGTCGTGCGTAATTTAATCCAATCGTTTATGAAGTATTCTCATCTCACAATTCTCTTAGGGTCGCAAACGAGTTGAAACTGTTGGGATTATTCTCTTTTGTGCACTTATGACTACCGTTTCCGTGGAACTGATTATCGAATCAGCTCGAAGTTTGGCAGATGGTCCTAGGGAAAATGAAACGCTCAAAACGGTCCCTCTAGCGTGCGTCGGTGTCGCTATCTTCTCCAAAGCTGTCCTATTCGTGTACTGTTTTACCTTACGGCGATATCCAACTTGTGCAATATTCATGTTAGATCATCGAAACGACATTGTGGTTAACAGTTTTGGATTGGTTATGTCCATCGTGGGTACTAAGTATGCAAAAGTTTGGTTCTTGGATCCCGCCGGTGCTATTGCTATTGCATGTTTGATCCTATTCTCATGGGCATCAACTGCTTTCGAACATATGTGGCTTCTGGTTGGAAAGAGTGCTCCACAAGAGTTTTTGAACAAGCTTGTATATGTCTCAGTTACTCATGACCCCAGAATTTTGAAGATCGATACAGTAAGAATCCAACTCTTCTATTGATCTTTGGTTATGGCTAACCCCTGATATAGGCGAGAGCATATTCTGCCGGTGAAAAATACTATGTCGAAGTCGACATTATTATGAGACAAGAAGAAACATTGAAAGTCACACATGATGTTTCCCAAACTTTGCAAAGGAAGCTTGAGGGTATGTTTAATGTGCTATCGTAAGAAATTCGGAAAATGCTAACAAAACAGGTTTGGCGGATGTCGAAAGAGCTTTCGTCCATGTTGATTACGATGATTTACACGATATCTTCGAGGAACATAAACCACTTTACGAGATTCAAGAACCCAAAGTTCCCATATACGAGAGGGTTAGAGAAAGATTCAAGAGACAGCCACCTGGAAGAGAAGCAGATGATGTAACGGGCCCGATGTCTTGAGTATTCATTTATGAAACGTCATCGAAGCATGAATGATTATGGACCTGGAATTGAAACGCATTTACAATATGGAGCTTGGGTTTGGGATTTTACTTGGAATTGCAACGACTGGAAAGCAGAACCTTCCCCACACTAGTAATTCGCATCACGTTTGAGCAAGGTACTGATAATTGTGCCTATCGCCTATTGCCCAACAAGCCTCTAATTCCAAAATGAATTACAACGAGCCTCTGATTCATGACATTGACAACGAGTTCAAGTGCCAGATTTTGATTCAGGATATTTTCAATCGTTCGCTATACCGAACCTCTGCCGAAAAATATCAACAAGATCGACACGAAAAAATATTATGCTGTGGGTCTGAGGCGTTTATTCTTGGCTACAGGGCGGCCAGGAAACTATCCGACAAAATGTGCCTATGGAGATCAGACAATATCAATTGCAACAGGTTCGCTTATACAACCTCTCGTTGGCGCACACGTATGACCATCCCAAATCGAGTGGATTGACTAGCGGGATGAATGAAGCGGATGGAAGTCTGGGGGCTGAGGAATGAACATATGAATATTGTCACGAAATCAAGTCGAAATTGATGATTTCGAAAGAGGATCTTGTCTTTCTTGATGGGCTGTAAAATTCAGTGGCCAAAGGGAAGAAATGGAGTCGTTTTGCGGCGTTTTTAGATGAATAGATACCCTGGGATTTTACTGCATGGCGTTTATAGCATAAGAGAAATTGAGGAATCTCAAAAGGTCTTGATCAACACTCCTAATTCGCCCATTTAGTTTACGTTTATGAAGCTTGAGACGTGAGATATGGTTGAGTGTAGGCGATAGTGATGTGCGATAGGAGTCGATGTTGTTTGTCTGGATATAGGAAAGGGAGAAGATTTCGTTTAGTACTAAGATCTTCAATACTAGATGTTACATAACGTAACATGAGCATCCTCACTGTATTGGAGCTGATGTGGAAGATGGTAAAGCGAGAGCTGTGAGCGGTGATCAGTGAGAGACTTTGCGATTCTCAGCTTCACTACATCTCGTCCGACTTTTCCTGCCTCTCAGTAGGAAGTAGTGTGAATTCTCTTAAGTCTTCTTCGAACTCGATACTTGAATAGGTTGTAGCGTCCACCAGGCATAATTGGCTGATGGCGGCTGTTGGACTGGAAATGGGAACCTGAAAGCTTTTGGACGCCGAGGGAAGACAGCTTTGCGATGGGTTCGAGTGCGCAAGAGAATAGGAATCCGTTCGTGTGAGGAATGTTGGTGAGTTATAATCATTTTTATCCCTTTGTTTATGTCGATGGGGTTTCGTGCTGTTGTTTAATTGTTGTTGATTGTTGTCGGTAGTTGTGGAGGAGAAATGGCACGGAGAATGAGGCGAGCTTTAAATTTCGTTCTGCGTTTGAATGGTTATATTTACGATAGTTAATACTTCTGGTATTGACTTGATCCTGTCCTGTCTTGATGGCAAATTTCACGACTATTGCCCCTATACCTCTTTTATCTGGGGCGAAGATCTTATGTGGTGTTCACGGAAGCTTTACGTGCCCCTTTAATTGCAAATCCTATACTTCAGTCTTGTACCGGATGCTTGCGCAGGGGCTTCGATGGGACTGATGGATACGAGTGAAACTTAACGGCTGTTTTGATAGATAGCCGAGGGTTTTCCTACTATTTTTAGTGCTTGATGTTACCAGTCTTGCCGTTGTAACTACCTATCGAACAAAGGTTTCGAGTTTCCAACATTGACGCGGGGATACTTAAAGCTGCGGCAGTTATTGGCTCTCAGGTCTAATCAGGCAGTGAGAAGGAACTTTTTTCGTAAGTCAAGGAAGTCAGGGGTTGAAAGCAAACTTGTTTGCCACATACAGCACTTCGCCATATATTCCAAACACGGCGAATGAAGTCTACCTATTTATGGAATAGAGGCTGAATAACATAAGCCACAATCTATGTGAACAGAATTTGAATCTCTGGAAATGCTGTCTCACAGTATCAAGATATAGAGTCTAAGTAATAAATTCTCTTTGAGTTTAAGTAAACTTGAATTATACAATGATTAAAAGTTAGTGTTGGTATCAATTTGGTGTTGATTAAAGTGTAAAGTATTTCATTCTTATCAATATGATTGATTGTATTATTCGTCTTGATTATTATTAATTATGGGAAGCTAGTATTTGATATAATAAAAATGCTAGCACTAGTGCATACACTAGTATATACACTAGTGTAATACAATGCCCTCTTAGATTATATAATCGATATCCCGATACTAGTAACTCTTAAGTTAAATAGATTATGTGCTTTAAGCCTAAGTCTATTATTCAATCTTAAGTATAGTGTTTTATTTCTATTCCCTTAGCTCTTTTTCTACTATTCTCTTTTACTTAATGTGTTATTTTAATAACTATTTTATTAATATCAATCAAATCTTTTAAAACTTGATATGCATTGTTTTTAGTTATGGTGTTCACAGAATTCGATTTCCTGTTAATCCATTTAATCTCTGTGATTTCCCTATTTTTGTAGTATTGTTGTAAAGCCATAATGTCGATTAGGAATCGTTTTTTTGTGTTTGTATTGAGCTTAGTTAATAGGTTATATAATGACTTAGAATCTGTATAAAGTATGAGTGGTATTCGCTTTTTAGATTTGAGAATAGCATTGATAGTACCCTTAATAGCAGCTCCAATATCAAAACCTAGAATTAGTGCATATAGCTCAAAAGCTAATATGCTCCTAGTGATTCTCTTGTATTTGATCGATGTCCAGTAAATGATATTAGTATTACTGTATTTGTCTACGAGGTATATAATATAGCCGATTTGCAATGATAGATTAGTATTGTTAGTAAAGGATGCATCGGTAAAGACAACTAATTCGATAGAATCCATGTCGAGAGGTATAAAGGTTAATCCTCTTCTTAGATTGTTTATCTGTTATTTGATAATCTTATTGAGCTTAATAGCATTTTCTTCCTTTGGATCTATTACCTGAACAGTAATTGAAAGATGATATAATGCCTTTGATTGATATACTATTACAATATACACATCTTTCACACATTAAGCAATATATTGGTTTTTCGAAATAATATTCTTTTAAATCTTTCTCTTTGTTCTTTGTATATCAATACTTTTTAGTATAACCATTCGAAGATTATTACACTATTTCTCCTAATTCAGATAGATTCTATTACCTTTAAAAGTAATTAAACCATTATTAAACTTAAGTGGATGATTTTCGATAAGTTGCTCTCTGTTTTTAGCTATAAATCCAGCTTTCTCCAATTACTTTTATTCTAATTGTGCAAATCTTTTGTTTACAATTATAAGAGTATCATCAGTTTGTAATCCTACAATACCAATGTCGTTATTGAAGTAAAGTAAACAGGGATTGTATATAGATTGTATTATATTTAGCCTATCCCTATAGTAATTGTAATAGATTCCAAACCAATGATTTCCTACTTTTGGTATACTATATAAGGGCTTTATAACATATAGCATATATTCGAAATCAAATCCGACCTTTTCTAGTACTTCCATATAAATAGGTCTATTCAAAATCGTAATTGATTAGATATATGCCTATATGATATCCCATAAATAGATTTTGAATATACTTGTTTGACACTTGCAAAATAGTAGTAAGTACAAATATAATATACTGACTAACGTATTGAATAATCAGTGATTACATCAAAACAGTAGTTTTGCCTACATCTTAATATACCTGAATTATTAGTTGTGATTTTGTGTATATTTTATCAATATCTTTTTTCTTTTATTTCGTTAATAAATCGTAATTTAAATAATTGTGTTCCAGATAGTATACTAGTTTTTAAAACGATTTTAAAGACTCCATTTTCTATTAGTCCATCAATTTCCTTGTGTTATAATTCTTTATATCATATAGGTGTATCATCTTACAAAAATATAATTAATTGCAATAATGGTAGCTTAATATCGATATCCGTCCAAATTGATTATATTAGTCAAGTTGCTTCTCATGCAATGATGTAGTTGTATATCTGGTTATACCGCTGGCAATGGTGTTTGCGGTCGTAGTATTTCCATTTGTAATATATCAACTATTATAATATCACTGTCGTTATCACTATTCATATCATTACCATCATTCGATTCAATTTCTTCAGGTTCTTTATAAAAAGGTTGTACAGACATAGATCGAAATTTAGTCGGTTTATTGATGAGTTCTACTTTATATATTTCCCTATCTATTCCAATCAAAGCATATGATCCAGTTCATTTACCTAACATATTGCCATCTTTTCCTTTTTTTTATATTAAAATTTGTAAATTAAGTGGTAAAGTAAGAACTAATGTCATAATAGTTCATTCCTTAGTCTAAGCGTTTTTGTAATCTGTCTCTTAGCTTGTATATGATATACTTCTACCATAGCTTTTTTCATAGCTTTTGTGTATTGAATAATTATCAGGATTGATAGGTTAATATCATTTAATCTAAGATATATCCCATAAACTAGTAATATGGGAATAAGCCTATTCGGTCCGGCTATATCATTCACAGCTTTCACTACCATTTACAGGATTATTGCTTTTGTCAAATTGTATCTTCAAGCTCTTTAGTTAAGATCTTATACACACAACATAGAGAATAATGATATCTCTCCACTATACCTACAGAATTGTATACTTTAACTGGTATGCTCTTAATGGTGATTGATATAGATTTTGCATTCTGAACGAATTCTTTACTCACAAAGTTCTTTCCTACATTATGAATAATGTAATCTGATGGTTCTATATATACATCAATCCAGTACTTTCAAAGAATATTGAATATATACTTAGTTAAAATGTTTTTAAGAAATCGAGCTGCTTAATAGCATATTGTCTCATCAACAATATGCAGAATTGGTTTGTCTGCAATGTATATGAACATCGACATATATAGTATAGTTAAATTCAGTATTCTCTGGTAGAATAAACCTAAAACGTTCGGGTGACTTACTATGCATTTGATAGTGCTTGCAGTATTTGATAAGATGTTTTATAGTGTTATTGCTCTCATCATAGCCTACGCGTTATAATACATTATAAAAGCATTATGCAGATGGGTGGCTAAATCGTTAATGTAAATGCTGTAGCTTAATAATCGTTAAATAGTAATCATTCTAACAAATAGATTTTTGAATAAACTGATCCATATTCACTTTCCATATCAAAAAATATATGTTCGCATCTCCTAATAACAGAATATTGATCAATTGGATTGATGAATTTGTTGGTGATATTGTTGTAGAATGCTTTAAGTCAATCTATGTCCTCAAGTCCCAATAAAAATGAAATATTGGTATTCATAATGTGAAAAAACAATGCATCCAAATAATGCATTGATACGAAATGAATCTATTAATGTTGCAGTCCCCTTTCTAAAGTGTACATTCGCTGCTCCTACTATTTGTGGATCATATGTTATTAGGCATACCTATTGCTATGTATAATATTATCCAATCCCAATTGTAGATTTACTTATATAAGCTGTATCGATATATATATCAAAGAACTCCTTGTTTATATAACTTACATAAAAGATGTCTATTGCACTTTTTATCGGTAGAGTAGCTTCAATAGGGTTTCTAATCAATATATACAATATCATATTGACTGACAACTGATTGAATATCTCTTGGCTATTCACAGGTTCTGAATTGACGAAAAATGCTTCTTCTTCAGTATTATCAATATCAAGATCTGCAAAGAATTATTCCATTTCGGTTTCTGAATCAGATTCTGTATTAGTAGCTTCTTCCTCGTATTCGATTAACTATTGGTCGTAGTGCTTATTAAACGTGTTGTTACTACCATCCTTGATCTTTTCCTGATATTCATATCGGTTTTATCCTATTCCTTCTAGGAATGCTTTATTGATCGACATTCCTCTTTCTTATATATCCAGTAACGATTTTGTTGATTTGAAGAATTAGATTGTTATCGAAACCTATTAATATTGCTCTTGAAGCTATTGCTTCTGAAATTACCGCTTTTGAAATCTCTAGAATTATCTGAATTATTCCGGTTATTATTATTGTGGAATCTTTTGTTAGTGAATAGTATTGTATTTTCTTCCTTATATAATCTCTCCTATATATTAATGGATTATTGCAATTAGTTGATTAAACCAGACACCTCCTTTTTGGGATTGAAACAAGCTAGATTACATGTTTTAACATCTTTATATACTAATATAAGCTTATTGTGTAAATATAATATTTGCCATATAGTGGAATCAAGTTGATGCTGTAGCATATGTAGCTGCTTGATTATGATGATAAGATACTCATTAAATAGCTTGTTTTTATACTCCTTTTTAATCGATT